GTAATAGTTGGTGACACGGTTTGGCTAGCTACGTATGAAAGTTTGTGATTAAATATATTATAAATGGATCTTATTTTAAAAAAAAAATTAAAACGAATTTGATGATAGAAATAGAACTGAGTTACAGGATATTTATTAAAAGTTATGATTAATTTTGTATTTATGAAATATTAGAATTCTATCTATGATAAAACTCAATACAACAATTTTATCTTAAAAAATCTATCCAAAAACCGCTTACTTAGTATCATATGTGTCACAATAATACCTATTTGTCGCCTACGTGGCGCAACACTTGGTGAAAAACTTAAATGCCAAGTGTCGCTGTTTCATGGCCTGGCTGCGAGACCGGCTTTATATATTAGTGATATGATATGATATTAGATTATTATATTTTTATTAAAAGTTGTGATTAATTATGCATATATAAAGTATTAGTTGTGTATCGATAATAAAACTCTATAACGTTTTTATCTTAAAAATCTATCCAAATTTCGATTATTTAGCATCCTCTTTGTCGCCAACGTAACACGACACTTGGCGAAAAAACTGTAATGTCAAGTGTCGTTGCCTCAAGACTTGACTGCGAGACCGACTTTATTTATTAGTGATATGATATATTAGATTTTATCCTGCTATTTCCTACGAGTACACTCTAAAACTTGAATACCATAAGTCCATAATAGTGCATTTTAGTACTATAGTTGTAAGATTGACTTTGTTATGGCTCACAACTATTTTTCTTCTTTAGTTACTACTACTAGTATGCATGCTGACACAATATTTAGGGCGCGACATTTTAGCAAGCATATTATGCCTCCAAGGGTATTTTTTGCTCATTTATTATTATATTTTGCTTAGTGTAAAATCTTAAGTAGCCGAAAAAAATAAATAAATCAAATGCGCAAAAAATAAATAGCCTTGGGTGCACCTACCTTGAGGAAAGGAGAAGAGAAGCAATAGATAAATTAGTTTCTTTCATTCATTTATTCAAAGGTAAACAAGATCAAAGGCCTTCAAAGATAAAAACAAGATCAAAGGCCTGTACACTAAAAATATTAATTAAGAAAACGAGAAGATACAAAAGATAAGATAAACTAGTTTCTTCATTCAACATTCAAACTTCAAAGAAACAAGATCAAAGACATGCATGTACACAAAAATATTAGGTGACAATTCTAGACTTAATCTGGTTTCAACTTAATGACTTTGATCCGCACTTGAGGAGTTGAGGGTGCAGGTCCGGAGTCTCTACGACAGCATTGTAACCGGGTTTGATGTCCTTAAGATCCAAGACGGCAGTTCCAATGAACTGTGTGAATAGAAAGCCCATGGTACAATAGATCTCTGTGTTGAGCTTAGACAACGACGTTGGGTCAGATAGCCAGATAGGTCCCGGTGGTGAAAATATAAGCCTAAGCCGAGCTTGTTGTAGTTCCCGTTTGCAAGCTTATCAATCTTGATAGAGTACCTGCAATCCGGATCAAGTCAGAATACAGCATTGGTCTGCATTAGGCCCAGCTTCGGCATCCAAGCCTGTTGTTCTATGTGCCCCAACGTCACGATAAACTCCAATATCCACCACGACCCCCCTGTCTCTGTCCTGCTTGATGATTTTCTTGCCATGCTTAGCTTGCTGTTTATTGATCAATAACCTTTTTTTTGGTTTGTTTGTTTGGTGTAGTACAAATTCAATTTCTGAGTATGAGATTGTGAATTTATAGCAGTTGGCCACTTGGCCTAGCCTCTTTTTATCTGATACCGTGTAATAATATTTGCAGAAAACTACAAGAGTTGTAAATATGGTAATTGGTAGATCTCTATCCCTATTTAATTTTACTCCCTCCATTTAATAATAATGTTTCTGTTTACGTAAATCGATGTAACTTTTTACCCATCTTTGACCGCAAATAACTTCAGTATCACATTAGCAAAAATATTAAAAGTTGGATATTAATAATGTACTCATCAAGACGAATCAAACTAGATCCCACATAACTATATTTGTTCTAATACAGAAATTAAGAAGATTTTCTCTTATTTTTAAAAAGTCAAAGATTCCAAACAGGAACATCATTGTGAAACGAAAGGAGTATCTTTTCATGAACCTAAAATAAGGAAACTAACCAAAATATATCTTAGGTAAATTTATAGTTGTAGCCCTTGTAGGAGACTAGTAGAAGTGTTATTAACATATACTTATTCCTACTTTTAGCAAGTCAACCAAATTCAGATTGATTTTTTAAGATATAAACCATTTGAGTTCTATTTTCCATAAACTTCCAATACTTCATAGTTATAAAACAAAATATAACTTTCAATAAATATCTTATAAATTTATAGTTGTAGCCCTTGTAGGAGACTAGTAGACATGTTATTAACGTATACTTATTCCTACTTTTAGCAAGTCAACGAAATTCAGATTGATTTTTTAAGATATAAACCATTTGAGTTTTATTATCGATAAATTTCAAATACTTCATAGTTATAAAACAAAATATAACTTTCAATAAATATCTTATAAATTTGTTATTTTGACCTCATTATTTATATTTTATTAAATACTTAATTATAATATTAGTTTCCTAAATATTGCAAAACTTTGCCAAAAAAAACTCTCATGTTATTAGCAAAAGTGTCGCAATTTTTTATGAAAAAAAGGAAGTAGTTCAAAACATCTATTTAAAATATATTTAATTGATTAAAATAAAATACTACACAATCTAAAACAAAAATATGATATTTATACTGTATATCAACATTTGTCGATTGAAAAATTACTAACAGTGGTAGATTGATTCGTTATGGTTCACAAAATTACAAGTCACAACTTTTTATCTTCTTTGGTTACTAATAATAGACAGGTCATACGCTGAAACAACATTTAGGGCATTCTACACTGATCTCCTAGCCCTCTGAGTCCAAAGGGCATTGCAATTAGCAAGCTTTGCTTCAATGTTAAATAAATTTCCAAACCTAAAAAGAAATGGTAAATTACCTTGCTTGAGAGCAACACTACCGACTACTGAGTAATATACCCCAGATGCTAAAAGTTCTAATTTCAAAAGTTGAGAAACTAACTCAAACTTCCTAACTGCAGATCAACCTAGAATTGATGACATACATTCAGAATTGGAGCTACCTTCCATCGCCATCTAATAGCTTCAATGTATTGCAAAGCTCAAACTCCACAAAAGCAATAGAGGTCTGCCTAGGCAGGCAATTTTGAATTGAGGTGCACTCTAACAGAAGTGCACCTCGGATGCACCTCTTTGAATGCATCTCGCCTAAAGCAAAAAAAAAAAAAAAAAAAAAAAAAAAGGCCTAGTGTTTAGGCTTTATCTACTTTTGTGAACACTAATTAGACCATAAGTATAACCAAGGGTAAAAAAAAACCTGAAAGGATTCCCAAAAAAACAACCAACATTAACCAGATACCACACTTTCTCTATGCACTGCTCAGGAAAAAATAAATACAGATAACTTCCTAGCCTATCTTATCAATTGTCATCAGTCATCACCATGTACAAATTTTGTTCCTATAGAACATTCACAAAAAATTTTATGAGCATAAATGATCACTCTCAATTTCTCAAAGACATTACATACATAACTAGGTTCTTGTCAGAAGAAAAAAAAAAAAAAAAAAAAAAAAAGGGTCCTGAAATTATGGTGATAACGTGAATGGTTTGACCTAAAAGCTTGAAATGCTAAACAAGTGAATGGTTGAGACAACAGGCCTATTTGGGCTATATCTCAACCTAGTCAGTAACCAAATCAATTTATATAGACAAGCCAAATCAATTATGCTGCTCTTGGAGCCTTTCAAAAAAAAAAAAAAAAAAAAAAAATCAAATTATATAGCACTTCTCTTAACTAAGTTCCTGCCTGGGGTCAGGGCATTGTCAAAGTCTATGTTTTCAGATCAGTATGATCAACCATCTGAAAATATCATCAGATGAATTTGTATATACATGGTTTTTATTGAACATTGCTGAAATCAGCATTTTCAAATAAATATGCATAACAACTAGCTGAATTCCGGTAAAAACAAACATCCTAGTTTTCCTTCAACATGATCAAATATACTTCATCCTCCATGTATTCAACTTTAGCTGTAATATTGACATGTCATGTCAGACAACCTTTTCCTTTCATACTCAACTCGTATCAGATGAATCTGTTTTGGTACTATAAGCATTCCTACGTAAAGTTGATGAAGGTTTCTACACTCATCTTCCAACTCCCTTAAGTCATAGCAGAAAAGCTCCATTACACGTTCACTAATCTTACCAGCTCACTGATGAAGGGAGAATGGTGAGTAAGTGATGCAGAGTAAACAAAGTGTAGATCATGGGTGTACACACTAAAACTCTCAATATAAACAACTGAGCAATCAACACGGTTCACTAATGTTACCAGCTCACTGATGAGGGGAAAAGAATGGTGAGTTCTTATGTGATGCAGAGTAAACAAAGGGCAGATCATAGGTGTAAACACTAAAACTCTCAATATGAAGAACTGAGCAATCAACTACCTCAAACAACTCAAACACACTCAGTGACATACACACAATTTAAATATATCCTTGGCCACAATTAAGACTCAAACATAAACAAGAAGAATTGCACCTTATGCAAGCCCGGAAGAATATGAGAGCCAATCAACAATATAATAAATACCATAATGCCTATAGATCACTAGAAAAAAGGTTCATATAACTTCCTAACCAACCACTCTTAATCCAATGTCATCTCCAAGTTCAAAGACACTGCTTACATTCAAAGATTTCGGACATACACTTAAAGCTAACTTGAAATTCCCTATCATACCCAAGCGCTAATACCCGTATAACTGATTTTTCATAGTGCTATCTTCATCATGAGAACACAATGCAATTCAGCAAATTAAACAGCCAAAGAGCATATTTCACTCCACATTTAACAACCAACCATCAAATACTCGATTTAAGCAACGACAAACCAAATCAAGAACCAAAATTTCCCAATAAACCCATTTATGACATAAAACTATAATTTCCATCTGGTAATTTGTTAGCTCATATAACCAAAATCAATTCCAGTCATCTTAAACAAACATATAAAACTCCACTAAAACAATAAACAACGTGACAACAACATAATGAAACGATAAATGGGCAGAAATTTATAACCTATAAATTCAATTTATTTCCATCAAATTCCTCTACTTTTGCTTGTTATTCTTCTTCTTATTTCCGGAACTCACAGCTGGTTGAGGCTTCGGGTGTTTATCGGCTTCGGTCGGGTCAAGCCAATTGAGAGGATGACGATTAAACCATGGCCAATTTGGGACGATGATCAAAGCAGTCAAAACGACGCCGCCTGCATAGATTAGCACCATCAATTGGAATGAACCCATCAAATAACCTGTTACAAAAGCAATTGCTGCTGAAACTAGCAGAAGAATTTGCATCCATTGTTCCGCCACTTTCTGCCCTTGCCAATCCATTGTTCGCAATCAAAAACCCTAACAAAATAAAACAAAATAATTGAAGGTTTGTTCAATTGAAATCCCTATTTTTCGAGATCTGAAGCAAAAGAAGATCGAAAATTTAAAATTATTGGGAAAAAAAATTATGAATTCTGAAAGAAAGAGTTACCTGAGATTGACAATGGCGACGATGAAATTTTCCGGCGAGCTGAGTGAAAGTTGGAGTGATTTTGGGAGAAGAGGATTGATTTATATGAGTTGATACCAATGCGGGCTTAGTTTGACTTGTATAAAAGAAAGTCAATAGGAAATACTCGTAGGAACTAATGTACACATCATCAACGAGAAAATACAAATTTTATACTCAACCTCTTGTTATACCTGGAGCTGTCAAAACCTCACCCAATTCAAAATTGATCCAAAAAATATCCGATTTAGATTTTGACTTGTATAGCTACAACAAACTATCATGAGTCATGACTCAAGTTTAAATACAAACCCGACCTACTAATTACGCCACATCATCTACTAAACCTCTATGTGCCACATAAACCTCTTTAATTATGTCATGTCACCTACTCAACCTCTTATTATGTCACATCACTACTCAATCTACCAACAATGTTACAAACATGAAAATAAATTCATATAGTTGCAAATCACATGGTCTAATTATAAAAAGGAAAAAAAAAAAAACCCAACACCATAAATATTACTGTAAAATATATAATCACAAGGTTTAATTAAGGTAACAATTCGATGTAACTCTCAGACTACACACTAGTTTATAATTAAATGACATAATTTATTCTGAGGAGATCCCAGTTGATCTATCATATCAACTAAACATGTTAATCTATTGCTTAGTCACTACTTAGCCATCAACATTGGACATTAGTCCTCCATTGAAGCTCGCTCCCACCGACATCACCCGCCATCCTTGGTCTCCACCCACTGATTCCAACAACACCAATTTTGACACCATTTTCAACACCATTTGCATCATCGCCACCTTCCACTAACACCATCTTTTTCTTCGTCTCCACCTTCCACCCTTTTCATTTGTATAGTTTAACTAGTGAAAAGAATCACCAACCCTTTAGGTGATACCTATTACTCCTACTATAGGTGAATAATCTAATCTAATGTAAAATCTAAATCTAAAATATAAATAAAGTAGGTATTTTTGGAGAGTATTCGGAGCGCCACGTAAGAAATATACTTATTTCGACCAATAAGAAGAAAGATTTGTATTTTATTTTTGAATTAAAAAATTATGTCGCCACCTAGATAAAAGTAACGAATTAGATTTGATATATCTAAAATTTTAATGTCACGTAGATTATAATCCACGAATTAAATTATTTTAATGAAAAAAAAATAAAGTAAAAATATAGAAAAATATAAATTTATTAATTTAATACTACGAGTATAAGAAATCTAAAAAAAATATACTAAGAAATATTTAAATGATAAACGCTTATAATAAAGTTTGATACATATCATTATAAGATAAATTTTGATAGTATTTATGATAAGAAATAAAAATTGTTCGTTAATTATAATTTAATTAAAATTTGTGATACCTACCATTATAAATTGACACATCATACGACACAAATAAAATTTCGTATCAATAAAAAACTCCATCAAGCGAATTTTGTGTTAGTAATTTTGTGTTAATTTTTGGTCATCAATGGTCGAGTAATTTTCAGCATAATTTTTAAAATCCTATGTTTAAATTAATATTTCTAATTATTACTTACATTGTATTAATTTGGGATACTCAACGATTATATGTTTATGTTTTATTTACTAAATATTTTTTTTACATGCAGATCTAACACATCATACGACACAAGTAAAATTTCGTATCAGTACAAAACCCCATCAAGCGAATTTTGTGTTAGTTTTAGGTCATCAATGTTCAGATAATTTTTAAAATCTTATGTTTAAATTTATATTTGTAATTATTAGTTACATTGCATTTATTTAGGATACTTAACGATTATTTGTTTATGTAATGACATACGATTAGATGTTGTATACTTAATATATGGATGGCTTTGGTTATTTTTGGAGATGATGAAAAAATTCCAATGCATAGATTTGATTTTATATCGCAACAATTTTTCATTTTTTGGTAAATATATTGATTTATTTTATATAAATGTAAAGATTTAATTTATATAAATTTCAATTTGGCTAACATTTCACGGTTCATTTTATCCATTGATGTAGTAGGTTGGTTGTGGACGAGGTTGGTGATTCTATCGAAATGAAAGATATGGTAAAACAATGAATAATGATTTAAGATTTAAATTATTAAAAATTTATCGTTTCAATTTTATAATCCATGAATTAAATTATTTTAATGAAAAAAATAAAGTAAAAATATAGGAAAAGATAAATTTATTAATTCAATACTACGAGTAAGATAAATTTTGATAGTATTTAAGATAAGAAATACAAATTGTTCGTTAATTATAATTAAATTAATATTTGTGATACCTACCATTATAAATTAACACATCATATGACACAAATAAAATTTCGTATCAATAAAAAACCCCCATTAAGCGAATTTTGTGTTAGTAACTTTGTGTTAATTTTTGGTCATCAATGGCTGGTAATTTTTAGCTTAATTTTTAAAATCCTATGTTTAAATTAGTATTTCTAATTTTTACTTACATTGTATTAATTTGGGATACTCAACGATTAAATGTTTATGTTTTATTTACTAAATATTTTTTTACATGTAGATCTAATACATCATATGACACAAATCAAATTTCGTATTAATACAAAACCCCATCAAGCGAATTTTGTGTTAGTTTAGGTCATCAATGTCCGGATAATTTGTAAAATCTTATGTTTAAATTTATATTTGTAATTATTAGTTACATTGTATTTATTTAGGATACTTAATGATTATTTGTCTATGTAATGGTATACGATTAGATGTTGTATACTTAATATATGGATGACTTTGGTTTTTTTGGAGATGATGAAAAAATTCCAATGCATAGATTTGATTTTATATCGCAACAATTTTTCATTTATTGGTAAATATATTGATTTATTTTATATAGATGTAAGGATTTAATTTATATTAATTTCAGTTTGGCTAACATTTCATGGTTCATTGATGTAGTAGGTTGGTTGTGGACAAGGTTGGTGGTTCTATCGAAATAAAAGATATGGTAAAACAATGAATAATGATTTAGGATTTAAATTATTAAAAATTTATCATTTCACATTAAAGATTTTATGTAACGGAAAAAATTATCACATTTACAATTTATTTATATTCAATAAATTCATTATAAATTATAGTAAAAAAAATAAATATTAAACTTTTGTAATTTTGTCTGAAATTATTAAATACAATAAATCAAATAATTAAAAATCTTAGATGAAAAAACCGTGCATCGCACGGGCTTCCATCTAGTATATATATATAAAGGGGAGTTTTCCCGAGATTTTAGAGCACCACAGATTTTAATTTTTAGAGCGCCACATAAAATTAGTATTTTTAAAAAGCTACAATAGGATTATGCCACGTAAGATAAGTTTTTTTAAAGCGCTACGTAGGATTTTAATAAAAAAGCGCTATGTAGGATTAATATTTTTAAAACGCTACCATACGATTATGCCAAGTAAGATAAGTTTTTTTAAAGCGCTACGTAGGATTACGATAATATATTAAAAAATTATCAGAGCGACAGATAATATTATTATTTTTAAAAATTTATATGATAAAATTAAATAAATTATTTGGGTGATTAATGGAACCATTATGATAAAATTTTACAAAATTTAAAATAAAGGAGAGTTTTTCAAGATATTTTAGAGCATCACATAGAAAAAAAAAATAAGAATTGCAATTTATTTTAGATCTAAAGTTTTATATTAATTATAATAATAAAATCAGCACATTTTCCATGTGCTTGGTCACATCGTGTGGCCGGCTGAGATATACCAAACACTGATCGGGTAACCCCCGACTGTTCGAGTAACCTATGATCGATCGAATAATCCTTGACCAACCGAGTAACTCCCGACCAAGTATTAAGCAAGCGATCACAAAGTGTAAGAGATAAATATATATTTATTAGAATATCTTATTTGAAAAAAATACAAACAAACGAGCTTCATCTAGTGATAAAGTAAAACGGTAACATTTAAAAAACGGAGGGTTATATATTATTGTGTAGGATTCTAGTATTAGGAAATAGATCGAATTAACTAATTCAACTAAGGTGATTCTTTTCACGGGTTAAACTAAACAATGTAAACGGTAAGAACTTAATATTTCATTCCCCCCTTCTCTTCACCAAGTCTTGATATGGTTTTACTCTCTCATATTGCTATGACTCGATATGATGAACTACATTATTTGTGCTTCTACTTGATCCTTAATTTGGCATAGAGAATGCTATAAAGGACATGCGAAATATTACTGTCAAACAATGTCATCGATTTTTTTTCACATGTTACGCCAACAGAAGGGGTCTTCCCTCATCAATTCTCATCTTGCCATTAATAAAATTTTACTGCTCTTGCACATCCAACAACAAGGAACTGAAGGAAGTGCTAAGAGTTCAACACTGCTAGGATTATTGTTCATACTATACTGTGTATTTATGGGGATATTCATATTTAGATACGCAAGCATAAACTATAAAAGCAGGATAAAATGGCAGCATACATAACACTGCAGTAAAAGAGCTACCAAAAACAGCAGGGTTACTTTCCTCAAAAAAAACTAGATATTCTCCGCTCTCCATGGACAATGTGCTATTGAACAAGTAAATCTAGATGAAATCTTGTCTACAAAACCAAGATAACAAAATATAAGAAACCCCAAAATTTGTTTCAAGGCTACACCGATGATATGCTTAAAACACTTGAGAGGCTTGTTAGTCTTCTATTTGCTGGTAGCCAACTGGGACTCGGGCTGCAAAATAAACATTCAAGTAAGAAAACTAAAGAGAGGGAGATAATACATAAACACGAGCATTGCAAGAACAAAGAAAATGGCAAACCACCTCCTTCCTCACTGCCTCTTCCTTCTCGGACAAAGTCAACTCAATGTGGCATGGATGAGACATGTAGGCTGTACAAGAAAATACCAAGGACAGTTGAGAATTGGCACATTCAAAGTAAATAATCACCCAACACAATAACAGCAATACATACGGTTGATACGCCCATGAGCACGGTAAGTACGACGCCTTTGTTTCTGGGCCTGGTTAACTTGGATATGAGAGATGTAGAGAGAATCCACATCCAAACCTTTCATCTGCAAATGGATAAAAAAGTTAGGACGATTAAAAGATTCTCATCAAAAAAGTTAGGACGATTAAAAGATTCTCATCTATCAACTAGAAAGTATAATTAAGCTCAGAAATGACATGCCTCAGCATTGCTTTCAGCATTCTTCAGCAAGTCAAGAACAAATTTGGCTGACTTAACAGGCCAGCGACCTTGACCGTTGGAGTGCCTGTTTTTTGCTTGAGCAGTCCTACCAACACCTCTGCAGAAGCGACGGAAAGGAATAGCCTGCTTGTGAGCTAAGACATCCTCCAGATACCTTTTGGCCTTGTTCAAAGGCATCTTTCTAAGAGCAAAGGCAGTCTCCCTAGTGTTCTGCAATAAACAAGCAGAAAGAAACTAAGTAGTTTGTATGCACACAACAAAATAAATTTCACACAAAGCAGCAGGATCTCAATCCAACAGAACAAGATTTACAACCCAAATACAAACTGAGTAACCTGTGCAAAAATATATACCACCAGATACAATGGATGGACAAAACAAAACATACATAAGATTTTAGTACTTCCTGTGTTACATAGTGTATTATGCATCATTCACTGAATCTACGGCAGCTAAACAAAATAATGATGCTATTCTATCTTCTAAAATGCAATTTCTAAAATGCAACCCAACATTGCATTTTACATTAAGGTTAATCCCAGCTATAACTAGAGTAGATACAAAATAGATCATACTAGTAATAGAGCTGCAAATCAAATTCCCAACATTCACAAAAAGAAAAAAAATCTAACTTAGTACTTTGTATGTTCCACCATTTACTGAACCATAAGCCATTAACATCACAGAGGTTCACCCAATAATGATGCATTTCAATTTTCTAAACTTTATAAAGCACTGTTTGAAAATGCAACTCAAATTTGCTTTTTCATTAGGTCAATTCCCAGCTAGATATCCAAATTAGGAGTATTTGAGCACACTGGGAGTTCCCTACAATCACAAAGACTGTATTGGAACTCCTAATGTGCATGTTTCATCATTAACTGAACCTTCAGCCACTAAAAAAAACAGAGGTTCACCCAAAAACGATGGAATCAATTTTCCTGAACTTTACGGAAGCTCTATTCTGAAAAACAATAGAGCCTTGCTTTTTTCAACAGGTCTATTCCTAACTAAACAACTAAAATTAAAGTAATTACAGCACACCAGGAATCCCCTTCAATCACAAAGACTGCATATGAACTCCCAATGTGCATGTTAAATCATTTACTGAACCTTCAGCCACTAAATAAAACAGAGGTTCACCCAATAACGATTCATTTCAATTTTCCTGAAGTTTACGGAAGCCCCATTCTGATATGCAACAGAGCCTTGCTTTTTTCATCAGGTTTGACCCTAGCTAAATAACAGAAATTAGAGTAGATAGAGCACACCTAGAAATCCTACAATCACAAAGACTGCATTTGGACTCCAAATGTGCATGTATCATCATTTACTGAACCTTCAGCCACTACACAAAACAGAGGTTCACCCAATAACGATGCTTTTCTATATCCCTGAAGTTTACGGAAGCCCCATTTCTGAAATACAATTGAGCTTTGCTTTTTTCATCAGGTTTAACCACAGCTAGATAATTGACATTAGATAAAACAAAGCACACATAAACCCAAATCGTATAAGAATTTGCTGCAATCACAAATAAAGCATACTGCCGCTAATGTAAATATCTAAACATTTATTAAACTTTCAGCCACTCTACAAAAATAATAATCGTATTAACACAATAAGAATGAATTCCTAATTCCTAATGTATTCGAAAGCACCCAAATATAACACCACCTTGCAAATTATCTTTGAAGCTCCTACTGCACTACCTTCGACAAAAATTTCAAGCCTTAAAATCAATCAAAAAATAATCCCACTCATCAGAAAAACCCAATTGCTTACTTCAAAAACCCAAAATCAGTTGCAATCTCCAACAAGAAAGACTCCCATTAGCCCTATAATACCTAGGAAGCTTATATATAAGCTTGAAACGAAGAATTCTTAGGGAGATAATACCAATTAACTTCCTACCTAGACAATAACAAATTTTAATCAAATATAAAAACAGGTAATATTGTACACATAATTTACTCCGATTATTCGAACTCCACTTACGACTTAGTCAAACTTTCACATTACTGTCCACTATAAGAAGCCTTCCAATCAGTTTCAGATATAAAAATTGACAACAAGCGCAACAAATAAATCTTTCTCACTAATACCCATTAACCTCACACAAAAATTGATCTAATTACAATGAAAATAAGTATAAATATAGCATCGTTTACTGAACCTGCTATCATAGAAAAAACTCCAGTGGTTCACCCAAGAACAATGCACACTTAATTTCCCTGAAGTTTACGAGAGACCCATTCACAATATTGGCAATAGGACCCTGCTTTTATCATCAGGTTTTTCATTTTTTACATTAAAAACTACATAAAAAAAAAAAAAAAAACATAAATCATACAACAAACTAATTAGCAAACAAATTAAAAAGACCAATAAAATGCAATAAATTTAAAGTAGATATAAAGTGAACTTACCTTGAAATGGCATCTGAGATCTGAACCCCTAGCCTTGCAAGCTGCATAAACAAAAATTTGAATAAAAAAATTAACAAAAAATGAAGAAAAAAATGCTGATATTAATTAAGATTGTTCAAAATAACACAGAAGATAAATCAAGGAGAAAAAACTACAAATAAATCGAACAATAAAATTCGAATAAATTGAAGAAAAAACTTACATTTGGTGGGATTATCGGGTTCTTTAGAGTAAGGAGCCATGTCGTCAGCTGGTGATGAGAGAGAAAGATGAAGGAACCACACACAAATGACGGTGGCTCTTAAACTGCGAGAGAATTAGGGTTTTGTAGGAATTAGGGTTTTTATAGGACTTTTTTTTTTTTTTTTTTTTTTTTTAATGGAAGCCCATTGACTGGTGTAATTTTGATGTTGGGCTATTATTATTTGGGCCAATAACCAAGGGAAAGGGTTAGGATATTTCTTTTTTTTTTTTTTTTTGAAAGGATTAGGATATTTCTAAGTGTGTTGCAATATTGATTATGGACTTATGGTTTGCAGAAATAAATTTTGGAGTGTAGAAGGAACACCTAGAGATGATTTTGGGCTAGGCTGATTCGGGCCGTGGGTCATATGTTGCATAGGCCCAGCCCATCACTAACGGGTTTGGCTGGGACAGGCTTAAAAATTGAAATGTAAGGCCCAAATACAGCCTAAACCCATGAGCCTCATGGGCTGGGTTGGCCCGGAACATGGCCTGGTCCAAGAGCCGATCTAAAGGTTGGCACTCGGGTTTCTTATCTACTATGCTAATTATTAGACTTAAAACACATTCATATTAAATTAGTTGTCAATCTAGTCACCAATAATTTTATAAGTACAAAACTGAATACAAACTAAAATAGAAGCTGATATAATCTAAAAACATATACTAGAGAAAAAGAAAAATGGGTACACTGGTGTCCAAAGGAAAAAATGTGTAATTAAAAATAGTGGAATGTATACGAAAAGGAAAAATATAAGTACAAAAGGTAAAGGTAGGGTCGTGCTTTACTGGGCTTTAAGCCTATGGGTCGTGGGTCGGGCTTGACATGCTAGCCCACAGGCATAACATGGGTTCAACTGCTCAAGTGGGTCTAAAACGGGCGAAAGATTGGGTTGAGCCCAAATCATTAAAAAAATTAATTGCAGACCCAGCCCTTAAAATAACAAGCTGGGGCTAAGCTTACCATGTCATGCTGGCCTTTTAAGGGCTGGGTTGGGCTAGGTGGCAGGCGGGCCTAGCCCAAAGCCATCTTTAGGAATACCTCCTTGTCCATAAATAAACTAGGCATGTCAATAGGTAGGGGTGTAAATGAGCTGATACTATCACAAACTACTCGTGAACAAGCTCGGTCAAAACTCGTTTGAACAAAAATATTAATTTCGTCAAATAAATCAACAAAGTCGAACAACATCATGTTTGACTCAATAATGCTCATGAACAACTCGTTGAAATTCATTTATAAGTTTGTTCACGCTCGATGATGATCGATCAAGCTCGAAAAATGTCTAATGTATTAAAACTATTATAATATATTATATTTATATATCTTTTACTCAAACATATTTGTAAAAATTACAAATTATTTTATCCTATATAAGCACAAAAACTCCGACATTATCTTTTTCTATAAAACGAATGAAAACTTTTTATTATCTTATGTAAAATTAAGTTGATGCATTATTAAAACTTGAAAGAAATCGTTTTTTAATGATAAATTAAGGCTCGTTTATTCAAACAAGCTCAATTTAAGCTCGTTCAAACTCGAGCATGAACTCCAAATGCAAACGAGCACGTTCATGAACAAAACTCGAACAAGCCAAATCCTCTACGAGCCAAGCTCGAACAAGATTTTTTAAAGCTTGGTCAAGCATGAGATAGCTCAAACACGAATATTTTTTTATCAAGCTTAGCTCGAACATACTAAAATCGGCTTGAATCGTTTTCATCCATATCAATGGGTTGTATCATGTAGGGTAAAAGATCCATATGGACAAATCTAGGCCATATTCTCTTTATATAATTTTTGAAGTCGTAGTATCAATAATGGGATGCAACTTGTTCCAATCATGTGATGAAAACTTGCACACTAAAACAACTCAATCGAATCAATATTTATCTTGGTTAGGGTTAAGCATATTTCAAAAAGAATTCCCATATATTAGAGTGTGTGAGACACGTGTCCTGTTTACAACATAAATCTAGATAGTTCTAGTAATACAAAAGCTCCTTGGAAAATAGGGTTCTTAATGAGACCATTTAACCAAAGGGGGCAGCCCAATCATCAACTAAGCAAGTAGAGACCAAAGTCATTAAAGTCATCTTATTCCTTGACCAATCATGGGCAAGGAAGGATCTAGGGTCGGTACCCTAAAAGAACTCACTACTAGAAGACTATATTACTCCTTGTTTAATTTCAAGAGCATATGGGAAATTACAAGACATCCCATCAAGAGCAAAAAAATTCTCTATAGAGTTTTTCTCTCTAAATATCGTTTTATCCACACAAAAAGTGCCAACTTAAGCATTGTAGAGAATTTAGAGGTATAAAAAGCTCCAATAGTGTCCACCATTTGTGAGTGGTGATGAAACCTTGTGAACCCTAACAAACTTTAGACAAATTAAATATAAGGAAACTTTTATACTAATTAGATGGAGTCAATATAAAAAAGAAAACAAAGAACTATTGAAGAAATAGTGCTTTTCGTGAGAAAGTAAAAAACCAAATGTCAAATTTTGCTTCATTAGTAACACTAATTTTTTTATGATAAATGAAATAAATTGCATCAATATGATGTTTTACACTTAAAAACTTAATAGAAAATGGCAAATATGATACTTCTTAGTAACTAATTCAAACTCATAAAATATACAATCACATACACACTAGGGATGAGCAGAAAGCCCAGGTACCCGATTTTGGAATCGGAACCGATTTGGACCCAAAACCAGTTCCACGCGATCCGGTTCTGGTTCCAAAAATCAAGACCGGCTCTAACTGAGTAACCGGTTCCAACTGGGTACCTGGTTCACCTTTTTTTTTTCTACAACTCCTCTCCCATGTAATACTAGTAGGCCCAACGACCCATTTACATATAAACTCTCATACCTTTTCTAAACTAACCCTAAAAAGGGATTCATTCTCTCATCCTTCCTCATTCACCTCATGCCTCTTTCAATCTCAACTTTTGCTGTTTCATCTTTCCTTTATCTTCCATCTTCATCACTCTAAAATGCTCTCAAATTTTGTGTATTTTTTAATCTTTTAGATTGATTTGAATTTAAAGGGAAAGGAGTTTTAATTTGGAGTATCAATTTATAAAATAAAATGTTGTATTTTCTTTGTACTGGGAATTAGTAATTATTTTCTAAATTTTGATAGGTTGATGTAATTTAATTGATGTAGTATTTGAATTTGTTATATTCAGTTACTTTGTTCTTTTGTTACTAAAATGAAAAATTAGCCCAATTATATTAAGAAAAATCTTGTTTGTTTGTTTTTTTTTTTTTAAAGAAAATCGGATCCGGCTTTGGAACCTGTTCCAATTTTCAGGACCCGGTTACAATCGGGGTCGGTTCCGGTTCCTTTATTTTTGACTGGATACCTGGTTCCGCTCACCCCTAATACACACCATGATAAATGAATATTCATTTGAAATTCAAAACATATTTACAAACAAGAAATATTTTTGAGCTCCGTTGAAAAGATATATGTTAATCAACTATAAGTCTTGATAATTCTAACATGGCTGAATATGACAATAATTAAAATGCATGCGCAGCACAATATATACGGTAAGTGCGGAAACAGCCGTAGGTGGTGTCGAAACCTACGATGGGGCAGGGGTGGGGTCCGGTAGATATAATTATTTATGGTGGGATAATACAGTTTTGTCGTGTAACATTGACATACATTAGTGTTATTTCCATGATATTAAGTTTGAATGTGTTGATCTATAATTTACTTTTTCTTTATAAATTATAACCTAATAACAACATTAGAAAAACTAATTAAATGTTTGGTTAACAAAGTTTTAGCTAGATGAAAGTATTAAATATTTTTTTTTATCAACCCACACTTTCCGATAATGAGAGATGTTTTCATTTAACTAGCATTTTGACAAAAGCATTGAGAATAAGATTGCAGTTCCCTAGCATTTTGTTTTTTCAATGTAGTGTTCTCTTCACCTAATTTCACTTATTTTATTAATCCTTATCTTGTTCAAGCTTATTAGCTCGTAATTATCTTTATTTATTTGAAGGTATTGGTGGATTAGATGAAAAAATTTTAGGTGCTTAGATTGAAATAAAACTCAAAGCATCATCTGCTCTTTATTTTTATTTACTTTAGGCCTAACAAGCTTAAATAAAATAAGGGCTAATGAATTATGAAAAGTTAGTAACTTCACATAATTAAGATAAGTTTAAGGCTAATACGCCCCTATCCCTTAATTTTTGCCCCATTTGACTTTTCACGCTCTCCAAGACGCGTCTTCAAATGCATATATCTCAATTTTTATACGCGTAAAAATTATAAAAATTTGATATTAATAAACTATACAATGAGATGATTCTAATAAGATTCCACATGAATAAATTATCACTTATAGATCAACGAGAATTCATGGTCAAAGTTTTTAAAATTTGGCCCATATTTTTGCAATGGGGCAAAAATTAACGGACGGAGGAAGTAATATACAAATTATACTCCGTATAAGATACCTGAAATTTAGGTAAAAAGTATGTCACGGAGTATTTAATGTTTGGGTACTAAAGTGAACATATCCATTTTAACGTAGAGTAATTCGGCTCACACAAACCCAATGGGCGTAAAAGGCCTCATTAGGCCTAAATAAGCGCAATACACTACTAGAGCCCAATATTGCTTACGCATATATCACTCGCAAATTTTAATATGTACTTCGGCTCATCCATTATAGCTTAATGTGTGGTTGATGCACCCGGAAAGAACATTAGGCATATTTTCAAGAATATAGACGAAAAAAGAATATTATAGACATTTATAAAGAACGCGAGCATAATATGTTTTTTGAGTTTGATCATTATGTTCTTTATATTACATAATATGTTCTTTATATCACCCGAGTAACCATGAAAAAGAACATGTTATTTAATGTATTATCATATTCTTTTAGTAAAGACTTAATGTTCTTTGTCAAATACAAACATATTCTTTGTCAAACACAAACATGTTCTTTTGTCAAACATAAGGTTCTTTTTCAAATACATTCAACCACTTGAGTAACCATGAAAAAGAACATGTTCTTTAATATATTATCATGTTCTTTTTGTAAAGATTTTATGTTCTTTGTAATGTAATGTTCTTTGTCAAACACAAACATGTTCTTTTGTCAAACATAGGTGTGTTCTTTTTCAAACACTAGTATGTTCTTTTTGCCTTTTTTAGTTTTACCGGGCGCATGGTGCACCCGGGTGCACTATACTATTTTCATTCTAGGGAGGGGTGTTCATAACCGAGTACTCGGATTTTCGAGTATCCGAAAAGGCGGGTACCCGATTTGTCGGGTAGTGAATCAGTCGGCCCATGTCCCGACCCATAGGGTACCCGGTCTATGTATTTAAAAAAAAAAACTTAGTTTATTTTAAATATCTTACTAACAACATTAAACATTATTTGAACCTGCCTGTTAAGTTTTAACCATTTCTCTTGCTAATATTAAAATGTTATATGCTAAGTTGTTAATTTATAAGTTAAAACTAGGATTTTAAGTTTTTAAGCACAAATTAAAACAAAAACAATACAGTAGTTGTTATCCCACTTTTATTATTAAAAAAAAGGAAATAATTGAAAAATATATTAATATACATAAAAAAAAAAAAAAAAAAAACAGTAGTTGATATCCCTCCTCAAGCATTCATCTTTTTTTGCCCTCCAGTACCTAATTCTTTCTCTTCAAAATACTTAGCTCTGCTACATTGATGTGGGAAGATTAGCTAATTGGTTTTATCAATTGTTTTTGGCAGAATTTTTTAGTTGTAATTACACTAGTAGAAAAATTGAAAAAGGCACCCCCCTTTTGCCACCGGTTCTTAAAAACCGGTGGGAAAAGTTTTGTTTTATAAAAAAAAAAAAAAGGGAAAATAGATTTGCCACCGGTTCTAACCAAACCAATGGGAAAAGTATGTTTCTCGCACCGGTTCTAACAAAACCGATGGGAAAAGTGTTATGAAATAAAAAAAAACCGCTTATATTCTTCTTTCCTTCTCCTTCAATTCCTTGATCTTTCCTCCTCTCTCGTCTGCGCTACCTCTCTCTCCTCTCCCTCTCCTCCATTAAAATGAACCTCTCTGTACTCCTTCCTCCTCTGTACTCCTTCATATCTTTCTCGCCGTACTCCTTCCTCTCTCCCTCGTCCAGTTAAGCGTTTCTCGCTGTACTCTTTCCTCTCTCTCTCCTCCATTTAAGCGTACTCCTCCCTTTCACCGCTCTAATTTGTGGTCAATTTTTCCGCTCGCCACAGCCCTCTCTTTCACTCACTCACTACTAAAGGTAATGTTTGAAATTATCACCTTAATTGAGAATGAATTTTGATTTGGGTAGTGTTTTGGGTGTTTGTACTTTCCCTAATTTATGGGTAATTAAACGACATGCAAATTGGAGTTTTTTACTTTTTAAAATTTTCTTGCTTTAATTGATTAGTTCTTGCTTTAATTCATTAGTTCAGATGTAGTTTATAGGTATTCATTTTGGTCAATGCAATTGCATGTGCTATGTAGTTCTTTCGCCCATTTTTGTTTGAGAGTTGCTGTATTTTTCTGGGTTCTGGTTGAATATTGTGAAATTTGCAAGATCTGTGTGTACAGATTTGATGAATGTAGCATGTGATAAATTTCTGTTAATCGATGTTGGTGTTAATCAGGCATGACTTGAAAATGCATTTCACAATGTCAGAATCATTATCAATAAATTCATCATCATTATTTGATATGAAGTTGTGTTTTATTATTATTTATTTAGCTTTATTTGTGGTGATCTTAATCTTAGTGTTGTTACTATTGTTAGTTGTCTTGAATTTGAGCTAAATTTTGTAAAAATAATAATTTGATATTTAATTTTGTTGTGGTGTTGTATTCCATTTTTCGCACAAAACTGAATTGAAAGTTCATATAGCATAATAGCACTTGTTACCTCTGTTGTTGTGGTGCCTTGTTCAAGTAAGCTCTGGGTGTTTATCTTTACAAATTGAGGGATCCAGAGTACTTGTGAATATCTTATGAAGGTAGTGATTAATTAATTCTCAATGTCGTCTGAATTATGTTGCTACTTTTGGTCAACTCAAGCTAAGTTTCTATATACGAGTCTCTAGATACTAGATTAGGATTGCATATTTGGGAGGGTTGAAGGTGAAGGATGTTGTTAGTGGGGAGGTTAAGGATGTGCAGGTTTCTTATTTTTCGGTGTTTAGAGAGACATAAAGAGCAATGATATAAATCGAAATGATGACCGGATTACGGAATGCACATTGTGGATTTGTGGTACAATCGTATAAGTGTTGTGATATGTTTTGTTGATGATGTTATCAGGGAGATGATTTGTGTGTTAGCTACTACTACATTGACAGTGAGCTCAATGCTTATGCCATATCTTCTGCTCAGGTCAACTGCTTAGCTTGCTTATCTATTTTTATACAACTATTGTACGAATACACAAAGGAAGTACGGAATTATGTTGAGTACATTTGATAATTCGGTTCCATGGAAAGTCGAAAAACCTTTAAACTGTTGCCATGCTTCGGTGATTGTAAGTTGTAATTGCTCTGTGTAAATGGATCATTTGGTAAAAAAAAAAAAAAAGAAAAAAAGTTGTTTGGATGAACTATTTTAATGTTAATTTGTTTTATGGAATGAGCGTTACCCTTGGCCCTGAATCTCCAAGACGATACAGAAAAAGTGTCAGTGGGATATCTTTGTGGCTTGACGGCTTTAAGAGAAGTAATGTTGTTTCTGCATCTGGTATACTTGAGTTTGCTTACAGGTTTGCTTTCCGAAATTTACTTAAGTTTTTAGTGACAATGTTAAAATTATTCCGTTGAGACATTAAAAATAAGGAATTGGCAATCCTCTTTATGTGATCATAGGGACAAAACCGAATTGGGTAGTGAAGATGAGAAATCTTATCAGTCCGATTAGTGCCATTTTTATAGATTGATCAATGGATTTTGTAAATGTTGCTAACAAATCAATTATGTTTCATAACTTGATGCTTGAATCTTGGTGTTAGATTTTATTACATATATGCTGCTGTTTTGATTCTTTGTAATTTACGTGAGAATCGTAAAAGGAGGTATTAATTGCTTTCTTATGGTAATAAATAATTGTCGTAGCAGACCTCATTACAGCTTATGATGTCATATTACTGTGTTTGGCTGGTGTCATTGCTTTGCTAAGAATGTATAATTCAAGTATAATTTACATCTTAATATGATTTTTGGTCTCAGTATCTCAAGTGCTCTCTTTCTCCACCCTCTTTGTCAATCTATCCTTGTTGGAGAGTAATTTCTTGTAGATTCAAATCATGGTGAAACTACTGATATGAACATAACTCTGATTGCACTTTACTTGATGACTATAAGAGTATAAGCTGGCTACTTATTTTGCAGGGATTTGCATAAGGCGACTCAGAATTTCACAACATTGGTTGGCCAGGGTGCATATGGTCCTGTGTACAAAGCTCAGATGTCAACTGGTGAAATAGTTGCTGTGAAGGTGCTGGCAACTGATTCAAAGCAAGGGGAGCGAGAATTTGAAACAGAGGTAATGTCATATTTTAATCAGTGCAGCTTCTTAGCGGCAATATAATCTATACCAAGGTTCATCCTTAGATGTCCTGTGTGGTAGACAAGTTGTTGTCTCTTTTTATGCTGTAGTTATTGTGCTGATTGATTCTTGATCTCACCTTCTTTTATTGCATGCTCTTGTTTCTCAGGTTAAGCTGTTAGGAAGGTTGCATCACAGGAACCTCTTGAATTTGCTTGGATATTGTACAGAGAAGGGAAAAAACATGCTTATATATGCGTATATGAGCAATGGCAGCCTAGCTTCCCATTTATACAGTAAGTGAACAAATTATATCTTCAGCATTTATGCGAGCCTAGGTTAATGTAGAAATAAGAGTGTTCTAGCCCTTCTAGGTGTCATTGCAATGATATGAAATAATCAGATTTAACCAACTTTTTTTCCAGGAAAATTAATTACTGTGCATGTAAATGGATACATTGAGATATGTTGAAAAGTTACGATATTTGATTTTCATCTGTGGATTGACTGACGAACATCAATGATTAAGCTACCTTGCAAACCTAGTTTTGTGAACCTTTCTTACGTTGGAGCCTGCAAATTGACAGGTTTCCTCATTTTTCAGCTTAAGTGATCCCATTGCAAGGATAATTGCAATTGGGGCTTCCATGCATGCAACTATGCAAGCTTAATTAGGAAGAGGTTCTTCTGTGAAAAGTGGCTCTATAGGAAGTTCTTGTCGCTTGAACTTCTTGTTCAGCATCCCTAATTGGTATCCTCCTGTTCAGACCAGTGACACCAGTCTCATTAACAAAATCTATAGTTGTCTGAATAAGATTTTGTTTCCCTTATCATCTATTAATCAAACTTTGATTTTTCCTTTTCTTATGATCTTCTAGAGCGTAATTTTTATTGCTATTCGCAAGAAGTGATGGAGGGTAGTATCCGAATTGGGTTGAAATTTGTTGTGAAATAGAACTACAGGACTAGAATTACAATCTTGGGTTGATTATTCCAGTTTTAGGTGAGCTGTATCTTAGAATTTTACTACAATTAAATAGATTCTACGAATGCTCATTTGGACCCTTTTCTTTTGATTTTAGCATGGTGGCATTTTGAGGTATTTGGGGAACTAAATTCTCTGCTTTGCAACTTATATACTGTTATAGCTGGACAATAAACTGAATGAATTGTAGTAGCGTAATAATAAGTTTGGGGAATGCTTTGGGTCTGATATTCCTGTTTGTCTGTCATATGGTTGGTTCCTTTTGGCAATAGGACATTAATAAAAAACCTCTATTTTGGCATTAAATCATCAAAAATACATATAAGTAGGCATTCATGTTGATTTATAATAGGCTGATGAATAATATATGTTTCCAGGTTCTCCTTCAGGAATTTGAGTGCATTAAATTTTAACCTGCCTGACCTGACTCGTGCTTCTACTGTATATATATGTAGTATGAAATTTGGTTTTTTGCTGTTTTCAATCTGATTTCTTCCTTCTGCTTTCAGGCAGTTCCTCCTGTGATACATCGTGACATTAAATCTTCCAACATTTTGTTGGATCAGTCAATGAAAGCTAGGGTATGTGCATTGTTATCACTTAAATCTCCTGTGATACTCTAGAGTTAGCTTAAATCCTTCCCCTACAATGGACATCAATGCTGCCATCGGCAATGAGGACACCAGCTTGGGTAGGGAAATGGCATTTGATACTACAAAGACAAACACCATTGCCACCAATGTCACTGTGCTCTGCTCTGCATCAGTTTTGCATTCTTGCCACCTTGAAGTCCTGAGTTCTATTAGTTTTTGTATACTGTCAGACAACATATGTTAGTGTTTATATGTCCAAAAATATATATGTTAGTGTTTATATGTCCATTTTTTTTTAGTTTTTTAAAGTGTAATTTTACAAGTTATTGAGGCAAATATATGTGTTTTATGTATATTATGATTATATATAAGTATTTGGTACAATTTAAGTGAAAAAAATGCAAAAAAAAAAAAAAAAAAAAAAAAAAATTAATTTTTTGGGGCACTTTTGCCACCGGGTCAGTGTGAAAACCGGTGGGAAATGTTATAGTTTTGCCACCGGTTCACTTGAAAACCGGTGGGAAAAGTGCTCATCTAAAACATAAATCAGAAGTTTTTGCCACCGGTTCACTCCAAAACTGGTGGGAAAAGTTGTTTTTGCCACCGGTTTTAAACCGGTGGCATATCTTTGAGGATTTACCACCCCCCAAATCAAGAACGGTTCAAAATCGGTGGGGAATGTGTGGTTTGAACCGGTGGGGATTGGGGTTTTTCGTCTAGTGTTAGATGATTTAGCTAATTTGAGTTAGTTAACTAGTGGATTGCTGACGTGTAATCCCACTAACCACCTTTATAAGGTCATGTAATAATTGTGAGTTAGTTGCGCAATTAATAACAAACTCTTCCTCCTCTTAATTTCTCTGTTTCTCTCTCTCTCTCTCCCCTTTCTCTCTTTAAAGCCCAGTTTCCGCCATTAAAGGAGCTTCGAGCTTCCTCCTTTATCATTAGTATTAGAGCCTTCACTAACTGTTCGTCTTCAGTAAGAGATTCTGGCGCCTCCACCTGTGACCAAACGAGTAGTTGTAATGGAAACACAACTCAAGAATTTGGATAAGCGAATTGATCATCAGAATTCCAAATTTGATAAAAAATTTGATGAAATATTGAAGATGATGCAAGCGATTCAAGCTGAGAAGGTTACGACTGCTTCGTCCTCACCTTCTAAACCTTCTTCTCCTACTTCATCGTTCAACAGTTTGAATAGGTCCAATTCCACCAGGACCTTACTACCTTAATTAGGTATGAACCCTAATTGGAGTTTCCTAAATTTAGTGGTAGTAATCCAAGAATTTGGGTCAAAAAATGCTGCAAATACTTCAATTTATGCAAAATTGCTGATGATCAGAAAGTTGATTTAGCTTCTTTGAACATGACTGATAAAGCTGAAAGTTAGGTGATGAACTATTTGTCTGTTAGGAGGATTGTGATTGTTTATTGGAATGATTTTGTTTCTGATTTGTATGCTAGATTTAAAGATAATTCAGGAACTGATGTTGTTGAACAATTCAATCAGCAACATAGTTCAATTTAGGAGTATATTGATGACTTAGAGAACTTGAGATCTGTCATGTTAATGAATAATCTTGTCTTGCCTGATGCATACATATTAGAGAGCTTTATCGTGGGATTAAGACCAGCTATTAAGCCTTTTGTTAAATCTTTTAAACCTTTTACAATTGCTCAGGCAGTAAAATATGCTAGATTACAAGAAGAATCATTGAATTCTGCTAATCTGAGTTATAAACCTACCAAGTTTACTGCTAAATCTTTACCCTCTAGTACCTTACCTCCTTTGTTACCTACACCTCAAATTAAACCAGATTCTTCTTTAACACAGACCCCACAAAACTTTAAAAATTACAAACACATACCAGCTGATGTTAGGCAAGAAAAGATTGCCAAAGGCCTTTGCTATTATTGTGATCAACCCTACTCTAGGGAACATAAGTATCAATTCAAGAAACCCCAGCTTTTCACAGTTAAGATTCCTAGTGAGAGTGATACAGAAAAAGAAGAAGAATTGGAGTCAGAACTTGAAGTAGAGTCAAAACCCCAAATTTCTGTCAATGCCTTAGCTGAGAATCAATCATTCCAAACTATGAGAGTGAAAGGGGTGGTGAATGGAAAGGATTTTCACATCCTTATTGATTCTTCAAAACTCATAATTTTGTTGATGTCAATATGGCAAACAAACTAGAGTGTAAGTTGGATCAGATTCCTTTTCAAGCAGTTTTCAGTTGCTGATGGGAATCATATTCCTTGCCAATCTATGTGTAAAGGGTTCACTTGGGAAATGCAGGGTCATAAGTTTGATGTTGATGTTTTGTTGATTCCATTGGGAAGCTGTAACACGGTGTTGGGTATCCAGTGGCTAAGGGTGTTGGGTCCTATATACTGGGATCTTCAGCAATTGAGAATGGAGTTTTACTTGAAGAATGAGAAGTTAGTGCTGAAGGGGATTCCTTCTAAGAACCTGTCAGTTGTGGAGGGTAATCGTGCTGAATTTTTTTTTGATGCAGCAGTGCAGTTATGCCTTATGCAAGTGATGGAGGTTAGTTTTATTTTGGAACAGGACAAGTCTAATATGTCTCAGTTTTGAGAATTTTCTGACCTCAAACAGCAATTTAGCATGGTGTTTGAAGAACTTATTGAATTACCACCAGAGAGGGGAGTGTTTGATCACTCTATACCCTTAGTTCCTGGTAGCACTCCCGTGAATATTAGACCCTATAGATATCCATTGAAGCAAAGGGATATTATTGAGCAATTGGTGCAAGAGAAGTTGGATAGAGGAATTATACAAAACACTTCTAGCCCTTTTGCTTCACCTGTAGTTCTAGTAGGAAAGAAAGATGGCACTTGGAGGTTGTGTGTAGATTACAGGGAGTTGAATAATAGGACTGTCAAGAATAAATTTCCAATCCGAGTGATAGATGAGTTAATTGATGAATTGGCTAGAGCTAAGATCTTTAGCAAATTGGATTTGAGAGCTGGATATCATCCAGACGAGGGTAAATGCTAGTGATGTGTTCAAAACAGCATTCAAGACCCATACAAGCCACTATGAGTTCTTAGTCATGCCCTTTGGGTTGACTAAAGCCCCTGCATTATTTCAAGGCTGGATGAATCATGTGTTCAGGCCACTTTTGAGGAAGTGTGTGTTAGTTTTCTTTGATGACATCCTTGTTTACAACAAAAACTTGCAAGATCACCGGCAACATTTAGCTGAGGTGTTTGCTTTGATGAAAGACAACTGCATGTTTGTGAAGGAAAGAAAATGTATGACCCCAAGAAAGTTGCTGCAGTTAGTAGTAGGTCTATTAAGCTAATGTCAAAGAGCTAAGAAGCTTCCTAGGGTTAACAAATTACTATAGGAAGTTTATGAAGGGATATGCTGTGATAAGTAAGCCTATGATAGACCAGCTCAAGAAGAATGGTTATAATTGGAATGAGGAAACACAACAAGCTTTTGAGTATCTCAAGTCTGCTTTGGTTTCAGCATCAGTATTAGCAATACCAAATTTTAACAAGCAGTTTATCTTAGAAATTGATGCTTCTAAGACTGGTATAGGGGCAGTTTTAATGCAGGATAGGCACCCTTTGGCTTATATCAGCAGGGCATTGGGTCCTAAGTGGCAAAAGCTTTCTGTTTATGACAAGAAATTGCTAGCCATAGTTTTTGCTGTCCAGAAATGGGAACAAAATTTGGTAGGTGGTCATTTCATCAAGACAGATCAGAAAAGTCTTAAATGGTTGCTACGGTAGAAAATTTCAACTCCTTTTCAACAGTTCTGGTTATCAAAGTTGATGGGCTTTGATTATGAAATACTGTATAAATGTAGAAAGGAGAATGTGGTTGCAGATGCCTTATCTAGAATGCAAGGGCATGAGATTCTTTGTATGGAAGTGACAGTGCTGGATTCCAATCTAGGTTCTTTGATTGCTTCTAGTTACCAATTGGATGAAAATTATGCTGCTATCATACAGGCCTTGCAGACTGGAAATTTAGTCTCAGGTTTTCAGTAGGATGTCACTCTTTAATTTAAGAAGGAAAAGCAAGATAGTAGTGGGACCTGATGAACAACTAAGGCATAAAATTTTGTCTTGGCACCATGAATCTCCTGAGAGTGGTCATGGTGGGAGAGAACTGACTGTGAGAAGGGTCAAAAGATTGTTCTATTAGAGAGGTATTACCAGGGATGTAAGCTCATTTGTGAGGAAATGCACTGTGTGTCAAGCTGCTAAATATGACACTTCTGCATATCCTGGTCACTTATCGCCATTACCAATCCCTGAACAAGTTTGGCTTGATATCTCCATGGATTTCATCACAGGACTTCCCAAGTCAGCTGGGAAAGAGGTTATATTTGTGGTTGTTGACAGACTGAGCAAATATGCTCATTTCATGGCATTATCTCATCCGTATACAACATTACAAGTAGCTCAATGTTACTTGGACAATGTTTTCAAGTTACATAGGTGGCCTAGGTCTATAGTCAGTGACAGGGACTCTGTGCTCTTGAGTCAATTTTGGAATAGCCTGTTCTCTTTACATGGCACTGAGTTACTATTGTCTTTTGCCTATCACCCTCATACAGATGGTCAAATAGAGGTGGTCAACAGGTGTCTTGAAGCTTACTTAAGGTGCATGATAGGAGATTAACCACAAGAATGGCACAAATTGTTGTCTCTAGCTAAAAGGTGGTACAACACCCATTTTCATACTGCTATACAGTTAACTCCTTATGAAGTGGTGTACAATCAACCCCCACCTTTACACTTACCATATTTGGTTGGTGAAGTAAGAAATGATGAGCTTGACAGAAGCTTACAAAGAAGAGAAAGAATGATTACAGATTTGAAGTTTCATTTGGAGAGAGCTCAGAACAGGATGAAATCTCAGAGGTCTTTTCAAGTTGGTGATTGGGTCTGGTTGAAATTACAGTCATACATGCAACAATCAGTGCAAAGAAGGAGTAACCAGAAGTTGTCTTACCAGTTCTATGGACTATTTCAGGTAACTACTATGATTGGTAAGGTGGCATACAAGCTTATGTTGTCTGCAGAAGCCAAGATACATGATGTATTCCATGTTTCTCAGCTGAAAATTTTCCGAGGGAAATGCCTTTAGTTTCTCAATTTCCTCCTGTGTTTCAAGGATTTGAGATTGGCTCTGACAGAATTAAGCCAGCTGCTATTTTGGACAGAAAGATGGTGAAGTTTCATAATGGAGCTCAAGTACAATATTTGGTTCAATGGGAGGGCTTCCCAGCTTTTGAAGCTACTTGGGAGCCTGCTAAACAGTTCGAGAAGAATTTTCCAGATTTTGTTATCCCTTAGACTTGAGGACAAGTCTTTTAAAGGGGGAAAGCTATGATGTGGGAAGATTAGCTAATTGGTTTGATTAATTGTTTTTGGCGGAATTTTTTAGTTGTAATTAGCTGATTTAGCTAATTTGAGTTAGTTAACTAGTGGATTGCTGACGTGTAATCCCACTAACCACCTTTATAAGGTCATGTAATAATTGTGAGTTAGTTACGCAATCAATAACAAACTCTTCCTCCTCTTAATTTCCTTGTTTCTCTCTCTCTCTTCTTTCTCTCTCTAAAAGCCCAGTTTTCGCCATTAAAGGAGCTTCGAGCTTCCTCCCTTATCATACATTAATTATTTTAGATCCTTATAGTAGATCTATTGTAGTGCACAAGATTTTTAAAGAGTTGATCTTTGAATGATCAATTGTAATAGGTAAAGAAATTCGAAAAGCAAATTTGACTTGGGGAGAGAAGAAAGGAGAGAGACGAGTTTTGTGTGAGCAATTGAATAAGGGAGAGGAGAGAGAAAAACAAAGAACCCTGAATTGTGCGGCTACTGTATGTGGGAAAGAGAAAAAGTAACAACCCTAATTAATTGTTTATTGAAAATGAAAGCCCACATTATTTCACAAATATTTTTTTTTAAAAAAAAAAGGTTTCGGGTACTTGCGGGTACCTTATTGTGTCAGCATGCGGCCCATGACCTGATCATTTTAGCGGGTCGGGTACCCGGCCCAGAAAATTGTAAAAAATCACTAATTACACGTCGGGTATTTGCGGGTCGGCAGATCATCGGGTCGGGTCAAGCGGGTCGATTTTTTTTTTAACACCCCTAATTCTAGCTAGTTCATTTTTGCCTATTTATTCTTCTTCTTTTATTTCCAGCTTCTCCTTCCTTCATTTTTAGCTTCTGCAACTTTCATTTTAGGCATTTCAGCTTTTTTTTTATTTTTTGTTTTCTTTCTCCTCTTTTGTTAATTTTGCTTTGTATTTTTACTCTCCTATATTTTTCTATATTCTCTATTATTAATCCGCCAAATTTGTTGATCAATTCAATAGCTTATATTCTGAAATTAGCACTCATAAATCATCGATTAATTCTACTTCTTCCAGTGAAATCATTCGTATTTATTTTGGTGAAATCATCAATGAATGTTAATTTTATTTCATCAATAATTAATTTTAATATTTTTTGTTTTTGTTATTTTTTTAGAGGATCCAATTAAAATTATTAATCTCAGTGTACTCTTATCTAAAATTTAGGTGATGAATTTGATTTGTGAATTCAAATGTGCAAAAATTATTTTTTGCTTTTGAAATTCTCGTTTAGTACATTACAAAAAAAAAAATACAATTATTTATAATAACATATTTTTAATGATCTATTTTATATTCATTTTTAGGTTAATAATTAGAGAAATTTTTAATGGTAGTCCTCTACTATGGTTTTTTTTTTCTAATGGTAGTCATTTTTTTTTCCGATTATCATTGGTAGCCTTAAACTTTCACAATTTTACACCGTGACCCTATGATGATTTTATCGTTAAATTTCCTTTAATTCTAACTTACTACTCAACCAAAATTAATTATTTTAATTATTTAAAAAAAAAGAAAAATAAAATAGAAAAATACCCACGAATCCCCCTATTATCTCTCCTCTTCCTTCACGGCCTTTTTGGTTGAAGGGATTTGGATGGAAAAGAAAGGAAAGGGTTTAAATCATGTTTTCATATTTGGTTGAATTAATAATATAAGAATTCAAAGGAAAGGAAAGGAAAGGAAAGGAAGTGGGGAAAAAGTTCCATTACAAATTTTTAGCTTTCCTTTCCTCCCAAAATTGGAGGAATTCGATTGGAAAGAGAAAAATAAACGGATTTTTCATGAAATACCACTGAGTTTTTCCAAGATTCACCATATACCACACAAAATTTTTTAATTCACCATATAGCATTGAGTTTTTGGTAAATGTCACAACATACCATTATGACTAACGGACGTTAACACCGTTTAAGGCTAATAATGCCACGTGGCAGCTTGTGATTGGTTCCCTTCTAAATTATTTAATTTAAAAATAATTATTTAATTAATTATCAAATAAAAAAATAAAAATCAAAAAATAACAAAAAAAAATAAGTTAAAATATTTTTTTGTAAAATAAAAAACCCAACCCTTCTTCCACCCAGCCAGCCACCAGCCCCCCTGCCAGCGCCAAGCAACCCCACCCCCGGCCGGCAACGCCCAGCCTCTCTCCTCCCCTCATTCCTCCCAACACCAGCGCCTGACCCCTTTCTCTTCCTTTCCCTGAACGCCGGCCAACCTCCATTTTACTCTCCTCCACCTACCCCCTTTTTGTTCCCCCCTCCTACAACATCAGCCTTCGTCGGCCAAAACCAACCCAAGCCCGCAGACCCACACCGACACCCACCTCAAAACAACCGTACCCACCTCGAATCCCCACCCTAACCACCAAAATATCACCATACCCACCCCAAACCCGACCTTAATCTTCGAAATCCACACGAAAAATCCGCCCTAAAAACCCAACACTCACCCGTAAAAAGCCCTTACCCATAATTTCCTAAAAAAAAAATAGAGAGAGAGAGAGAGAGGGAGAGGAGGAGCAGAGGCGACAATGAGAGGGGAGAGAGAAAAAGGGATCGTCGGTGGGTGTTTAGGTTTCGTGGGATGGTGGGTTGGCCTGAAATAGTCGAAAAGGGATGGGGAAGGGGGTTTTGGGTGAAGTGGCTGGAATCGAAAAGGGGAGGGCAAGGGGGTTTTGGGTGGGTGGCCGGAATCGAAAAGGGGAGGGGAAGGGGGTTTTGGGTGGGGTGGCCAGAATCGAAAAGGGGAGGGAAGGGGTGGAAGGCCGCCGGCCTCCGGCGCGCCTGTCGTTTCTGGCCTCGGCGGCAAGGGGTTTGGCGGTGAGGTGGCCGGAATGGGCTGGTGGCAAGCTGGCAGCAGGTTTTTTTTTTTATAATAATTTTTGTTACTTTTTATTATTTTTTGTTATTTTTTGGTTTTTATTTGATAATTAATTAAATAATTTAGAAGGGGGCCAATCACAAGCTGCCAGCCTGCCACGTGGCATTATTAGCCTTAATGACTAACGGTGTTAATGTCCGTTAGTCATTAATGGTATATTGTGACATTTACCAAAAACTCAGTGGTATTTGGTGTATTAAAAATTTTTGTGTGGTATATGGTGACTTTTCGAAAAACTCAGTGGTATTTCATGAAAAATCCGAAAAATAAAAGTTATCTTTTATAAACTTTCTTTCTTTTCCCTTTATTTCCTTTCATTAACCAAATATTGAAAAATAACACCACCTTCCTTTCCCCTTTTTTTTCCCTTTCTTTCTTTTCTCTTCTTTTCCTTTACTAATATTGAACCAAACAAACCCTCAACCTCCAAACTCCATAGATTTATCTCTCCTCCTTCACCTCCATTCTTAGATAAATGTGTTATCGTCCTTCAACCTCCAAACTCCTAATGAATGTAATTGTGTTAAGTGCTCTTCATTTCCCCTCTTTCTTCTTCTTTTACAGTTTGTTTGGGTAATGTTAAGGGAAGGAAAAGAAAGGGAGGGAGGTGAAGGAGAGGGAAGGAAAAGGAAGGGGGAAAGAAGAAGGATGAGTTTTCCTTCTAAATCTCTCCATTTATTAGATGGATCATTTTCTTAAAATTTAGTCCCTCCATTTCTCTTCCCTCCAATTCCCTTCATCCCTAATTTTTTATCCAAATGAAAGAAACTCCCTCCCTCCATTTCCCTTCTCTTCCTTTGCCTCCATTTCCTTCAATCCAAACACATTGTAAATTCTAAGAAAATAATCCCTCCAACAATGGAGAGATTTAAAAGGAAAACTCTCCATTCTTCCTTCCCCTTCCTTTCCCTTCCCTCCCCTTTACCTCCCTCCCCTTCTTTTCCTTCCCTTAACTTTACCCAAACAAATAGAAAATGAAAATACCATTCGATAAGCTTCTACAAATGTTGGATGGTTTGAGACCTATTACGCTCAATAGGAACATGCCTTTATTATATCTTGATAAAAAGTACATGTATTGTACATTTGTATACACGGAGTATCAGATACCATACAGTGAAATTTATGAGGAAAAAGAGGTAGTATATAAAAGCATTGGCAACTTTGAAGATGTAGCATAAGTTTAGTTTTATTTTTGTGCCATCGATAAATTAAATTTAGTCACTACTAAAAGAAACGAAACTATTTCTACAATGTGGGGCAAAGCTGACTGGCCTTGACAAATAGAACACCATGAGATGCAGGATGCCGTTGCAACTGTTTCTTGGTGGAGACATTTTTAAGCCAACGCCGTCCCCTGCAGTCTTGACAAGAATTGCAAAATAAGTAAAACGTCTCTGAGAACAGCCAAAGCTTCGACATGGCTATTGTTACACATGACAGGCTGCAAAAAAATGTGAGCCTCCATTCATGTGCTGCCCCAAGTTATGATCTATATTGTATAACTGGACATAAAACTCGTATAAGCGACTATGTCTATCCATTCTGGGAAACGGTGTTTCATATCCTTGGCTGACTCCAACAAATGTTGGTCCAGGGCAGCAACTTCTACTCTTAGAGGTTCTGAACTATTAGCCTGCAACATAACACTTCAGTGATCAGGAAGAAGAACCCTTACTTTCACAGTATACAAGTTTCTAATGAAAATATGGGCATGTACAAAGATAATAGTGTGATTAGAGGCTGGTTCCACACATATATAATAGGAAACACGATGTCAATGTTCATACTGCCAAACACAGTAAGAGATGGGAAGTGAAAATAAAGATTTGGCATAATATATGGTAGCTTATACAGAGCTCCCCAATAGGTGGAAAAGTGAAAGCAACCAGCACGTAAACAAAAAAATTTCAATCAAAAATGGACTGAATGATTTCTAGCACAATATTGTAAAAACTAAATTACAGTTGCAAGTGAGAAATATCAAAATCAATAATGGCTTGTTCTAGTTCAGAAACAGGAAATAAATAACAACTAAAGATGGCATGATTCATTGCTGTATAATTGTGTAACGGACACAATCTCAAATATTTACCGTACATCAACACATCTACACGACTACACTCAATAAAAAATGAGAGATTATATACAGGATTTGGATTAAGATAGATGTAGAATTTCAAGTTAAAATCAGAGGCTTGGCACTGAAGAGCATCACATCTATATTACAAAGATTCTTTCTATTCAAACAGTATAGACAAGAACTTAGGAAAAGTGTTCTAGATTTCACCAGTCCTCACTATTGAATACGGTAGTCCAATGGAGAAAGTGATACTAACATATACGCAAGATCTAGGACTTTACCTCCAACCAGAAGGCCCACTTCTCATAGCTAGCACCACTAAGTCTGCATATGTATGAAGGAGGACCACCATCAATTGTTTCCGGAGCTGCAGATCAATAATAGTGGAACACACAAGTGTTACAACAAACTTCTTAAAAAGAATTACAAGAGACAAAATGCATCAGCAACAAGTACCTGGTAATGTCCTGTCAGCAAATGACCAACCAGATAATGGACCAGTAACATTGAGGACAGTAACCCATACCTCTTTCAGAGATCTGGAAAAGAGAGGAAGTCATTAGCTTTTACATCAGCACAGGAATGAGAAATATATCAGAACTCTTAGTATGTCAGAATCAATAACTCTAAACTTGCCCCACAAGCCACCCCTCAGCCCATTGAAAGAGCTAATATCACATTAAATTAAAGAATGAACTCAACGTCTTTGCTACCATACTATCTCGACGAACATGTTTCATACTTAAATGGCTAAATTTTCCATGCCATGCATTTAATAAGTGCGACCAAATTGCAGACTCTTTAATTTGGAGAAAAGGAATTTTAAAAAATCAATAATAAATGCTATCTTTTTTTATTTTTTATTTTATTTTTTATCAGTGAACATTAATGTATGATGCTACATCAGAAAATGATGACAGAGCCATGTATACCCAGCTTTGAAATGATGGATGACTTGTTGGTTGTTTTCGGTCAGCTTAAGTAAACCATTTTTATTACTACCTTTTGCAAAGACCGCTTATATGCTTCTCAATATACAAACAGTTGGGTACAAAGCAATTGTTTTAATATGCTTCAAGATAGTTGAAACCTCAGTATTGCACACCAATAATACAAAAAGGGTTTATATATTTTTGTTTTTATATGAAAAATTATGCAGGCATCAGCAAAACTTAATTCTAGTAGATGATTCAAAGTTGAGCAGCCTAGCATAGTAGCACTCAGTCACTCACCCTAAATATAGTTCAAGGTGAACTTTGCGAATACCAGCATCAGAAATCTCTTCCCTCTCAATAGTTGACAGATAAGGAAAAGAACTATACTTCTCCAAGATTTCTTCATGTCTGACTGGGAACTTCAAGCTTCTTGAGAGCAAATTTGATACTGGAAAAAGTGCCTGTGAATAAACAGCAAGATTCATGACATGAAGATAATAGGATGTATAGTATAGGAAGAGTAAGACATAAGGCCATTCATAAATGGTGTTCAAACTTAAAAAGCTCAACTAAGCTAACAGAGAGATTTCACCAGAGTACCATAGAATACTGAATGAAAGACACTTGAGTTTCACTCCTGAAATGAGAAGGCCCAGCAGGAAAGAGGACGAGGGGGGGGGGGATTGGTGGAGGTTGATGCTTTATTAATTAAATCTATAAATATTCCCAAAAGCTTGCACATTTAGTACCACATCAGCAAGAAATAAAAGTGCTTACTACATACTACTAAAGCAGAAACCACTAAGTCAGGTTTTCGTTCCTAAAATTCTCTCCTTAACACATTAAGCTAGACTAAATAAATGATTGCCTTGAAAATTGTAAGCACGGGTCTTATTGAACAATAATTAATCATCAAAAAAGTAATTTCTGATGGAAGCATTTATTGAATAATGTCTTGGAATTTACTTTAGTACTCCCTCCGTCCCTAAATAAAGTTCCCATTTGACTTATTTGGGTCAAACTTTGAGAACTTTGACCATAAAATCCCGTTAATTTATAAGAGATTATATGTTCATGTGGGATTTTGTTGGATTCGTCACATTGTATACTTTATTAATATCAAGTTTTTATAATTTTTACGCATAAGAAAGCAGTACGTTTTAAGACACGTCTTGGAGACCGTAAAAAGTCAAACAGGAACTATATTGGGGATTATTGAATAATGTCTTGGAATTTACATATAGTACATTATTATAACACGCATATAGTTAACCAATGTCTTTTTCATACATATAGTACATTATTATAATAAATTAAAAGCCTGAGTGGTTTGGGGATTACCTAGTTACTTGTGTATTGACAAATATGCAATTGGTATTATTGGTGAATACAGCAGCAAATACATCCAAAACAATGGAGACAAGCATCTGAGGAATTATCCAAACTAGGGCCCAAAACACGAATGCTCAAATAACAAAACAGTACAATATATCTATAAACACTTACAAGCCATCTATCTCTCATGGTTTGGAAAGAATATTCTGAACCAATTTGAGGATGTTCTGACGCCTCCTGAGCATACTTGAAAAGAAAAGACAGAGAATTTGAATCTACAACACTAAATACATAGCTCGAGTCCAAAACCTGCATTGAATCTGTTGGAAGCAAACAAACTTCAGAACTGAATTACCTAGCTTTAGCCAACCATCATTCTGTGATTCAATGGCTTTTTAAGTTTACAGTGCCTTTTTTTTTCCCCAACTGACACTTTCATAAAAAGGACAGAAACACTAAAATACAATAGAGCATATATTTTGTCACAATTCCAGTCTGTTAAAATACCTGCGGTTAAAATCGTATGCTGCATTACAACTCTTTTAGGCGCATCCACACTGTAAGGAAAGAACCCTGATGAAATAGCCAGGGCAAGCACAGTAAGCTGCAGCAAGGCCTTCATTATTGAGGATCGGCCTAACCAGTCACCGATAATAGGGAGCAATGGACCCACACACCAACCAATTACAACACCAATCATTGCTGCCACTAAAATGTCCGGCACATAGTATCCTGCCACCAAAGTAACAATAATTTGGATTTTTTAGGACATATATAAGGTTTAATTAAAAAAAAAACTACTGTACTTATTTTATAAATAATTAGCATATTTATCCCTCCTCCCCATTCCAAACATGGCAAGCCTAACCTTTCTGATAGAAGCAAATTCTGTCTGGCACTAAATTACAAAATTATGGAAACCTCTCTCTCTCTCTGATGTATGCATATTCTACTTTTAAGGCAATTGTAGATTCTACAACATACTTATAGAGTTACAGCTATTGGTCCTACATAGTAAGCAAATCATCATATCTACCTTTGGACATCATCCAACTGCTTCTACCCTGGCATCCTTCCCAAATTTCAGCAAGGAGATGCAGGAATCAATTCTCATGATTCACAATATTGGGGCTTCTCTCTTATCCCCCCTCTAAGCTACCAACTTAAGTCCTTACCTCTTAGAATAATTCAATATCTTCAGATTGCAGCTACCCACCCCAAGTCGAGGTAGGACTTAAAAGTTAGAATGCAATCTTGAGTATTCTACTGCTATTAACCAAAACCTTCCAGTACAGAGGTTGGGAATTTTCTAGGTGTTAATTTTGTAACTATCTCTCAAAGTCCAATCAGATACTAATATGAGACCACCAACCACTTGGATATAAAATCATACTTACCCCAAGTGTAATTAAAACTTAGATCCCACTCTTAAGTATTCTACTTCTATGAACCAAAACTTTCTAGTACAAAGGCTGGCTAGCTGTTAATTTCTGAATGTTCTCTCAAAATCCAATCAGACACCAATATGGGACCAACTGACCAATTAATATCAAATCATACTCACCATATGGTGGTGGAATAGAGCCCATCATTCCCATCTTCTCGATCAGAAATTGTGTAATAAACCCACCAAAGTAGACCGAATATGTTAAACATGGCAACAAAGGAAGCATATAGACCACCACTGACCTAAAACAAATTCATCAAAATATCACGGCAATTATCATGAAATGGTTGAAAAGGTGAAAGCTGTGTTTATATGTATTAAAACTTCAAAGAAAGCACATCAACCTCAATGAATGCTCACGATAGGAGAAAAATTGAGTAGATATCCAAGCTAACAACATGGACATTGACGTGAAAAAGGTTAAGGAGCCCCCACTAAGACCAGCAAGAGTATAAACCTGCAAGACTGTAAGGTGAGCAAATTCATAATTTTCAAGTAAAATAAAATCATTGGAATGGTATTTCCTTATTTAAATCAAGGATCAGAAATCGTGATTGCTGGAGCATACCATAGTTAACAGAGCATAAAAACCAAACGCTCCATAAAAACCTGCTTCCTTAGTTCGTGCCTGCAGCAATTAATGCTCAATTTAAGAGAACTGAACTCATATTTTGGTAGCATAACAATAAACACAGGTTGAGTCCATTCTCAAAATGTGCATAGCAAAATACAGCAAACTGCTTTAAAAATATTGTCTGCCAGGAAATTTCCTGGTTAAAAGTTACTGAATACCAGAAGAAATTGAGCAGATAGTCAACAATAAATGGGACATGACCTTACTAAAGTGTCTTGAAGCAGCACTTGCAATTTTATGACAATAAATAAATAAATAAAATAAAATAAAGATACACATGTTCCCCAATTTAAGATAGACAATTTGGAATTGTTTCAGAAACTTTTCTTTTAGTACATAATGTCTGGGGCCAGGTCATGTTCAGACTGCATCTCGTATACGGTGGGCAATTGGCATGATTTGTACTGCCATGCACAAATATTTTTGTAATAAAACTCCATCAGATTCAGGGACAATGCATCTTATCAATAATGCAAAGTGTGCTGTCCTTCACAACATCATAGTTCACACTTCAAATCATGCAACAGACATTCATTTATAAAACAAAGTAAACAAATACAGGAGCAAGATTAGGTATTCAACCTTGCACAACAACAAAAATCACAAAATATATTGGATTTGTGAAGGTGGTTCAACTTGGAAGAATGCTAGACTGGGAAAATTAGAAGGCAAGTGTTGAAAGACTAAAGTTGATTTTCAGGCTAAATCTAGGGACTAGATGAGATGATACATACACCAAAAGAAGGGAAAACACGAACAATTGGGTCAAAGCACCAGCACTACCTCGTCTATCCTCCCCCACCCCCACCGGAAAACACGAACAATTGGGTCAAAGCACCAGCACTACCTCGTCTATCCTCCCCACCCCCACCCCCCCACCCCCCACCCTCTCTTGAAATAAAGGAAATGAAAAAAATGGAAGTTATAGGAGCACCTCTCTTGACATTTTCTGAGCTGACATCTCTTCAGAAAGATAAAAGCATCTCCACACATATCTTGGTACAAACAGACCAACAACAGAACATGGGACGAACATCATGAAAGCCAGATACGGATTAGCAAACCTGTAAAGTACATAGTTAATAAACCATGAAACTGGGGAATAAAGAAAATTACAGATGATGAAACATGTTATCATGCAAGTCAAGATCAAGTACCAGTCTCATCGAATCAAAAAACTCAACCTGAATACTAGATTATGACGACTTAAAAGCCAACACATAGTCTCCAATTTCTCCATTTTCATACTATGCAGTAGTCATTAGGTCTTATAGGAGACAAAAAATAATTAAAATTAAATTAAAATAAAAAACTGAAACAAATACAGAGGGCCAAATGTTGCTCAGACTAGGATTGAGGTATCGTGTCCGACACAGTGTCGGATCCTCTTACACTCTAGATTTAATAAAATTTCATACAAGGCCACTACATATTCGGGTTTCGTGTTGTGTCAAAGTATCAGAGTCTAGGGGTAATAATCGAGTTGAGCAGCTCGTGAGCAACTCAGACTCGACTCGGTCAAAACTCGGCTCGAGTTGGCTCGACTCGAGATGTTAACAAGCACGAGTTGAGCAAGCTCTAACTTGACTCGATAAGCTCATGAGCAACTCGATAATATATTTTATTAATATAAAATTTACAAACAAAGTTATTGTCATGAATAATTTTGACACTTAGTAAGAGTTAATTTATATTATCAAAAAAGAAAGAGTAAATCTTTAATAATAAATAAAAGAAAACTATATAAAGTAAACAAAAACAATAAAGGCCTATAATTTTAGAAGGGCCAAAACTTTAACGAACAGATCGCAAGCTATTCGACTCTACTCGAAACTTTAACGAGCACGAGTCGAGCAGGTTTTATTGGCTCGAAACTTTAACGAGCACGAGTTGAGCACATGAAAAAAGTTTTTGAGTCGAGTCGAGCACCCCTTAGCTCGTGATCGACTCGCTCGATTAGCACCCCTATATCAGAGGATCTGACACGCGACATACAATGTACAACAGGATGTCAAAGTAACATATTAGAGGGCTTTTAAAGGCCCTTGTTAGATACACATCCAGCAATTCATAAGATCCTAAGTCCCCACTCAACTTGATAAACTTAGAAAGAAGAACAGAAAACAATAATTACACACCATACAAAATTTAGTCCAAAATGAAGTGTCTAAGTGTCATACCCATGTCCAAGTGTCAAGTACCCGACAAAGGTACTTGTAGAGAAATGAAGAGTCGGAGTAATATAGCAATTACCAGTCTACCAGTGGCTTCCCACCCTTTAATATTCCCTACAATCCAATCCAACACTGATCTAAATTATTTACTTGATTCTGAATAATCTATGGGATCTTCTCCACAATCATCATATGATAACAGCTTAATAGAGTAATATACTGGATTTTTAAATACAAACAGGCAAGAAAAACTTGTGTACTATCAAATGCAAGTCCCAAGAAGCAACTATTGTTGATTAGTTACAATTCCCCACATACACTAAAAGGAGAATCCACAAAGTTTATTTAGGGGGGGAGCTGGTCAATGCAAAAAATTAACATAGATCTCACATTCAATTAATTATTCTTTTGATAACATTAATAGGTCATGACCTCCTACCAGTTCATTGCATGATTAGAGAAAAGCAGTCTAAAAACTGCAAATACCATTGGAACCATAATTGCCATTAATATCGCAATGAAGTGTTGCAACATCCCTGCAAAATATAGGCAGAAACAATCAAATCAAAATCATCAAAAGTATGACTATAGCTAAGACAGATTTTGAACCTGGTAAAAAAGAAACAGTAAAATACCTTTCAAGAAGTCAAAGTAAGTTTTCAAACAAGAACGCAGTTCAAAATTTGCCAAATGCAAGATGATTGGTGCAACAAGAAAGACAAATACTGGAAGAGAGTGGAAAACTGCAGCAACACTTTTTGAATAATAGACCTGAAAAATAATTGGTAACAAAGCATGGAGTCATTTGTCAGAAAGAACCATTGGTCATGCATTCTCATGCTAGTGGTATATGCAGGTCTCAATGAAAAGAAAAGAAAAGAAAAATCTCTTAAATTCATACCATGAACCATGTCATGTAATCAAAGAAAATTGCCCGTTCACCATCATCAGTTCCTTGAGCAGCAGATTCAAAATACTGGCGTTCACTAGAATTCCTTAACATAAAGGAACTAGCAAAGGCCCTGACTACACTATAAAGATTGTCTCCACGCGCTTGGATGCTTCCAGGTCTAATTGCAGAAAGTTATAGAAGTAAGTGGCAACATCCAAGCTAATTTAAATTCAGTGTCACAACAAAAGGAAATATGTACCAAAGTAGCAAATTCTAATTCATACAATAGTCTTTCAAGTGTATCAGAGGAAGTGTGATAAAAGTAACCACCAAGGAGAAAGATTATGTCAAGTCCAGGAATATTCCCATAATCTTGGGCAAATATTCTGTAATCTGTGTCGCCAGGAATTATCCTAAATACATCCTGCAATATAAACATGTTTCAAGAGCCATTTCAAATTAACATGAACACAAGTACAGTTTTAAAATTTAACAATAAAAGGAGCAAGAGAGGTTTTAGTAATATAAGTGTTATACAGATCATGATTAATCGTGTAGGTTAACACTGAGGCTGCATAACCATTAACCAAATTATGTTTAGTGTCAATTTAGAAAAAACACAGATCAATCCAACCGACAGAAAAGCTATCCATAGCAAAGTCGCACCAAATAACGATAACATGCATCAAGTATTAAATTTAAGTTACATAAACAAGTCTTTGTACCTGGGCACTGCTCAAGGCCATAGGATATACAGCTGACTGAGCGTACACACGAGAAGCCCAAGATCCAGGTCCAGATTGGCAAACTACATCTGTACATGGAGAAGAACATTGTAATTCACAGGAAAGGAGAGAATATAAAGGAAAGAAGATTGTAACTCATACTGTTAATACATCAACAACACGATTTTCAGTGATTTATAATGTGGAAGAATCTTGGAAGACTGAGAACAACATATTATTAGAATCTCATCAGAATAATGCAAAGATATACTTCCTCCGTTCCCTAAATACTGCAACATGGGGATGGGACACGGATTTAAGAATAGAGAGGAATAAAGATAAGGACCCGTGTGATGAGGAGAGAAAAAACATGTGCAAATAAGGAAACGTTGCAATATTTGTGAAACTTCCTAAAGTGGTAATTGTTGCAATATTTGTGGAACGGAGGAAGTAGATGATAATGCATCACAATCACCATATGACATATTCACATCCACCACAAGTAAGAAATCCATGCCTGTCGTATGCATGTAGCCTGCGGGTGTGACCATATTTGCTGACTTCCCACAGGTTACCCATGCCTACCTTGAATGATCATCTCAGTGTACTTCACTCACAAACATACGTTTGGCATTGAGGAAGGAGGAGAGGGCATAGCAAACACACTAATAACTAAGTGAGTTCATCATAAAACTTACAACCTCAGTCCCATAGTAAAGTATACTTGGAAAACATGAAGTAGAACAGAGATATAGCAGAAGAAAATATATAGAGGGGGGATGATTGTGGAGCCCAACTTCAGAGAGAACATAGAGAGGAAAAGCTTAAAGTTAGATTGTATTAAGCGACATCCATTCTTGGTTGATGTATTGTTTAATTAGGGTTGACGGATATATATCCTAACAACCACAACTACACAAGTGTGGTTTCTTTTTTACTCATGTCTTATCTAGGGGTGATAATCGAGTTGAGTGGCTCGTGAGCAGCTCGGACTCAACTCGGTCAAAACTCGGCTCGAGTTGGCTTGACTCAAATTCGACTCGACTCGAGATGTTAACGAGCACGAGTTGAGCAAGCTCTAACTCGACTCGATAAGCTCGTGAGTAACTCGATAATATATTTTATTAATATAAAATTTACAAACAAAATTATTACCATGAATAAATTTGACACTTAAAAAGAGTTAATTTATATTATCAAAAAAGAAAGAGTAAATCTTTAATAATAAATAAAAGAAAACTATATAAAGTGAACAAAAACAATAAAGGCCTATAATTTTAGAAGGGCCAAAACTTTAACGAGCAAATCGTAAGCTATTCAACTCGACTCGAAACTTTAACGAGCACGAGTCGAGCAGGTTTTAATGGCTCGAAACTTTATCGAGCACGAGTTGAGCACATGAAAAAAGTTTTTGAGTCGAGTTGAGCACCCCTTAGCTCGTGATCGACTCACTCGATTAGCACCCCTAGTCCTATCTATTGTAGCATCAATAATGGGATGCCACTTGTTCCAATCGCGTGATGAAATCTGGCACACTAAAACAACTCAATCGAATCAGTATTTATCTTGGTTAGGGTTAAGCATACTCCAAAAAGAATCCCCATATTAGAGCAAAAAAATTTCTCTCTCTAAAAATCGCTTTGCCCACAGAAAAAGTGTCAACTTAAGCATTGTAAAGAAGAGTACCCCACCCAATGATACTATTGACGTGTAGACGTGTAGTCTCTCTAATTATACTTCCAAAAAAGCATCCATCCCACAACACTACCAATGATCCATTTTATCAAACTCATACTTGTTCTAAATGGAAAAGGCATAAAGAGAACATTAATATAGAATCAACGAAATAACCTTTAATCTTCCAAATTCCAATCCCAAGGCAGCTCATATGGCTCATCGTAGAATAAGTATATGATATTAGGTGATGGCTATAATGACCCAAATGTAACACAAAATCATCCATGATTCAGTTACATTGTTATTGTGGTTTTAAAAGATACTTCTTCTGTTCCAAATTCCAGTTTATACATACCTTATTTGGCTGTCTCAAAATGAAGTTTGCGTAGGTTTATGATGAGCTTTAATTTTTACTTTTCATAGAAGTTGGGCCTCAAACCCAACCAAGTGTCCACATGACCCACTCATTCATTATTTTTTTTCTTTTAACTGGAGAATTTTTGTACAACTAATAAACCAAACACCTACTAACACAATGAGAAAAGTAAATATATAAATAAAATAAACAAACACTTACACCTTAGCTTTTAACTCATATCAAAAAGTAGAGTTGACAATCATACCAGGACCACCATTTCCCGATGCTTCCATGTTTATAAAAGCTCCAATAGTGTCACGCCATTTGTGAGTGGTGATGAAACCATGTGAACCCTGACAAATTTTAGACAAATTAAATCGAATGAAACTTTCATATTTAGATGGGATAAATACCAAAAAAAAAAAAAAAAAAAAAAAAAAAGAGTTATTGAAATAGAAATTAGTGCTTTTCTTGAGAAAGTAAAAAAACAAAATGTCGAATTCTACTTCATAAGTAACCCTAAATTGTTTATGATAAATGAAATAAATTGCATTAATATGATGTTTACCACTTAAATACTTAATAGTTTATTACAAATATGACACTTCATATCAAACTTATAAGATAGACAACGACATATACACCCATGGATAAATGAAAAGCCATTTGGAGTTCAAAACATACTTACCAACATGAAAAGTTCTTCGGCTCCGTTGAAAAGAAATATGATTGGCCGAGGGGATATCCAATCTGAATCAACTATAAGTCTTGCTAATTCCAACATAGATGCTGCAGATTACAATAATTAAAGTTATGTTTGAAAGCTCAATAGGTCAATATTCATCCAGTTAAAATTTATTAATATACTTTTGCTCCTAATATACATACCAACACAAGAACCACAATCAGCAGCCCCAGGGGAGTTAAGAGCACTATCAAAATGACCATTTACTAAAACTGAAGCATCAACTTCCGTTGTATTCACTGATGATATTCTATTACCAGATAGAGGGAAGCATTACAAACTTGAACCACATGACCTAAACGATAAAATTGCAAACTAAGAGCACTGATTATACCTCATGAGAACATTGGTGTGGGCTCTATAAGCCAAAGATATGCTGTGACCTAAAAACATCATGTTAAAAGTCCCATTAACCACATTTTCCTCAACCTCAATCCTGCAATTAACATGTTCCTTTTGTCAGAAAAATCGAAAATCACAAAGAAAAAAAATTTACAAATATAAATTCTTAATTATTATAAATTTATAAGTGATTACTTTGAACTTAAAATACCAAAGAAAAACACAATGCTTCATTGGATTTAGACTCATTATGAGCAAAGGTGGAAAGAAATAGAGTGGGTTAATTGGCAAGGCTAAATTGACATCACTTCTCCTAAGACCCAACCAAAGGAAAAGTTGCAATGCCATTGGTTAGGAAAAGAAAGAGTCTAAGAACAACTCGGTAAGTGCTCCATTTTTCAATGAATCGTGAGCTGATGCAAGGTCATGACAATAATTTCATATAATTAATAAGACTATTGTTTCCTTTCATGATTAAGGTCAAAGTACATTTAAAAAATAAAAAATAAAACACACACACACACACACACATTTTAGATTATAGGGTACGGGATGGAGTAACAAAAGATCTCTAACTAAGAAGAAAGACTATAAAGGAAAGAGAAAGATAACTCTTAACTCCTTCACACATTAAAGCAACATTTTTGTTCATTCTCAAGGTTGTGATAAGTTCTACTTTACTTTTCATTATTCCTAATTTCAAAGATAGTAAGCTATTACCACTCTCTCTAGAGGCTGCCAGTTAATCTTCGTGATAAACAAATTTCGTTTATCACGGAGTAAAACCGCTACCTCAAGTAGCGGTTTTGAGCTTAGGTAGCAATTTTGGTATAAACTGCTACTTAGGGAAAACCACTACCTCAAGTAGGCAAAACCGCTACCTCAAGTAGCGATTTTACTCATTTTCACCACAAAAATTACACTTTTGTCCTCGTGATAAAAAAATTTGTTTATCACGGAGATAAACTTGTATTTCCTCCTCTCTCTGATCAAGAAAATTAGATGCTTCATCCAATTTTTTATATGCTAAAAGAGCATGCATGCTAATAGAATTATTAACAAATATTCCTTGTAACCCACAAAAAACTTCTCATTTCTCCTCAAATCCTTGTCCCATAAAAATCTCCTTATTTCTCCTCAAATCCTTGTAACACAAATGATGTTTTAATTTTCCTCCAAATTCTTTTTTGTTATTCCTCTCTCTACTCTCTTAATTGAAAAACAATAAACAACATTAGCTACCTATTCAACAAAACCCCACCACTAATACTCTACTAAAACTTTGTGCGTAAGAGAATTTAGAAGCTTTTTACATGGTGGAGGAGTATCACTCACTTTTTCTTTATGAGTTAACGCTAAAATTTTAAAATTATCCTTCCCTAACCCAACATTCTTTCTTCTCTACAATTATCTCTCTATTTTACTATGATCAATTTCTTTGATTATTTTATATTTAACATCTATTCTTATACTTCATGCTCAAAATCTAAGGTCATGTTTGGAAAATAGCTGAAATTTTGATCATGTTAGTTGATTTTGCCTAGCTGATTATATAAAAGTGTTTCGTAAATAACTAATTGCTTAAAGGCATTTGAATATGCAAAATGACCAACAAGGACATTGACATATTTTATTGTGAATGATTAGTTATTGTTAAAAAGATAGTTATTGTTAAAAAGATCGGTGTGTTGTAGGATTTTTATGGATTAAAAATGTATTAAAATGAAACTATTAAAAAGGTATTTATAGAGACTTAAAAATTGTAAACGAATTCTAAAGTTACAATTTTACATGATATGTGCCATACAATTAGGAGTATATGATTATGAATATGAAATTTGTATATTATACATGTGTATATAGATTATTATTATTATTATTATTATTATTATTATTATTATTATTATTATTATTATTATTATTATTATTATTATAGCTACTTATTATTTAATTGATGATGTTGTGCGATCATTTTTTATATGAACAATTGCTATAGTAGCATAATTCACTAAATATGAAATAAAACTAGTGAGCAAAGATAAATACTCAACATAAAGGAAATTGAAGAGAAATTACCTTCTAATTGAAGAAAAAGTTAAAAATTTGTTAAAATGAACTTTGTAGGTAGTTATAGTAGGGTTTTGTGTTAAATGAGGGCATAATTGTCATTTCACCTTAAATTACTTGAATCTTATGAAAAATCTGCCGAAGCAATTTATTGGAAATACACTTATTGAGTCGAATCAGCTTAAAACCAGTTGACTACCAAACACCCCAATTAGCTTATTGTATTTGTCAATCAACTAAAATTGGTTAAATTCTCCAATTTTGCCACCAATAAATTACAATATTTCTTCCGCCAAACACTCTCTAAGAATATTTTAAAACAAAAGGAGTTTCAATATTATGTACTACATAGTTTATAGGATATACTTAAAATTACAATATTTCTTCCAATTCTTTTCATTATTCAAGTGTATCATTTTGAGTTGTGTCTTTTTCAAGACCAACACTCTTCATAAGCTCCCTCTGTTTTTTATTTTTATTTTTTTTTTAATGCATCACTTTAGCTTGCAGATTACCTGAGGCACAACTTTGACCATCAATAATTTTAATTAAATATTAGTAAAAAAAATATATATATATATATATTTTATAAAAGTAGACATTGCAACTAATTCAACAACATATTATATGATAATATTTATTTGTCATTTATTAGTTAAAAAAATTAAGTCAAAGCTAATCTATAAATAGTGTAAAATCCCAAGTGATGCATTTAAAAAAAAAAAAAAAACTAAAGAAGTACCATCTTAGACTTAATTTATATTAGTAGTATAAAATAAGTGCAGAGTAAATGTTATTAGGTATAATGTATATGTTGACAATCTTTGACACAATGCTTATTTTCATAATATCAAGTTCTTATAACTTTGTCAGCAAACCAATTCAATGTATGTAGGCCATAGTCAACCAAACAAAAAAAGAATAATCAATACCCACAAAGAACAAGCAATAAATCCATCCACTTCTTTACACCAAAAATCATGATTAAAAACCCATCAACAAAAATGCAATCAAATAAAACCAACCTCAAATTCGAATTCGCTCGATTTTTCAACAAATTCAATTGCTCTTTAATATAATCAGCAGCTTGCTTTAAACCTGGGCGCCCTTCCTACCAATCACAAAATCACCAAAAAAAACAAAAAATTAAATCTAGAAAATTAAAAAAATTAAATATGAAATCAATCGCAAAACCCTAACCTGGCGGCCACCGATATCTTCAGACAATACACGAAGATGCTGAAGAGCTCTAGCTTCGGAGAACTGATTAAGAGGTGCGTTAATGGCGAGAGGTGTGATAAACTTCATATGAAGAACAGAGTATACTAATACAGACATTAATCCATACAAAATTGTTAATGAAATCAGTAATTTGAATGCGGAGATATCTCCAGATTTCAGTCTGAAAATCGCCATTGGTGGAATGATGAAGAATTGCAGACAATTTGTGAAGATTTAAGGAAGATAAAGTAAACCCTAGGAAATTTGGGATTGATAAATAGGTGGGAAATTTTGAAAATTTGGAGGTTTCTACCTAAGTGATGATGATTGTTGATTGATGACTGATGAGCAGTTACAGACTTACAGTTAGTGTGTTTTTCATTATTTGTGTTTTTTATGTTTTTTTGGTGGATTAGTCTTAAATTAAATCAAAAATCCTAATCAAACTGTCATATAGTCAAATAAGACCAAATAATACGGAGCATTGTCTTCATTCTCGGATGTTTGTATAATCCCTCTTTTCAGCCATACAAAATAAATATTTTTTGCATAATTCAACTAACCTATGTTAGTGATTCATACGGATAGTGTAAAGCATTAAATTGACGATTTAATCTACAAAATCGATATCGCCTGGGTCACACCCATCACAAGTGTCCACTTTACAAGTCTAAGAAGGTTCTACTTCAAAATGAGAGGAGTAGTCCCTTAGTCTTTGATACGATTTTCTCTTTTTTCAATGTGGGATACACATCCTAATATTCTTCTTCACTTTTATACCCTTTCAATGTAGGACAAAGTTTTCACTCACATGTAGGTTTTCTCATGAGCTCAACACATCCCCTCACATGTGAATTGTCCATAATATTGGCCTAGATCACAACACAGCCCAACTTGGACTCTGATGCCATGTAAAGTTTTGATAAGGGCTAAAAGCTTGCCCACCAATTCATTCTTGAGCATATAAATAACGTACAAGATCTCTAGGATATATACACAAATATAAGCAATATCAATCATATCCTATAATTAGGTAACTACCTAAAATATAAGATAAGCAAAGCAAATAATATCTTAACAAATCCCAACAATATCAGTTATTAAATTGTCGATAAAAAGATATGAAATTATCAATTAAAGTAATTAATTTGTATACATATTACCTCCGTTTCAAATTATTTTTCAAATTGTTACAAATAATTTGAAACGGAGCTAGTAAAAAATATACTCATAGTTACATGGGTACTTTATCTTTTTGATGAAAGTGGTATTCGAATACAGAGTATCAACTTTTTACAATATATAGTTATTGATAATTAAAGATACTATTGATTAAAATTCTAACAATTTTGGCATACGTGTCCAATTAAATTATGGCATTTATTTTGAAACAAATAGAGTAATAACCCTATTTCTTTTTGTTTATTTGTTTTTTTTTTGTTTTTTTTTTGAGCAATTCTTTTTGTTTGCTTGTGTTGCACACTTTTTTAATGCAATATTATAATTAATATATCCATTGCAAAATATTTCGCTCACTCATCATACCACCGGTGGTGCCTTTTGCAACTTAGAATAATAAGTTTTTTTAAATTACCTATTACAAACTCTCAACCAAAACCCCTTAATACCCACCATTTTCCAAATATTTCTCTAATAAAACTTAAATCATCTAATAATTTTTGAATTATCTACAAAAGAGGTCATTATATCAGAAATTGAGATGTCGATATAGCCATTAAATTGCTTATGTAATTCATTAAATTGACGATTTAATCTACAAATTTGTTGATCTAAGCAATTGAACTATCTATATCAGTTATTAAATTGTTGATAAAAAGATATGAAATTATCAATTTAAGTAATTAATTTGTATACAAAAGCTACTAAATTATTGCAATTAGCAACTAGAGTCACGGACTCACGGTGAGTCTGATCTCACATAAACTTTTCAAATACAAACCTTAGTCCCTTGAAATTTTGTAGTAAGACCTCAAATTTCCGATGCATTAGTCCATTTGACACTCCATCTTAAGTGAAAACATAGGGGAATTTCCTTAATCTATATGGATTTGAAACTTGTAAGAACTATAGATTTTAAGTCAAAAGATTTTAATAGACCTAAAACATGACATGTTGACTATTTTACTATCTTTGAATTTATGTAACCTTCCTCCATGAACCCACCACAATGTTGCATGAGAATGACATGACATGATTAATCATTTATAGTTATGGTATATTAGGTATGTTCTTAATGTGTTGTATGCTATAATAGATGTCACAAACACTCACAATAATAGTTACTCAGTATTTTGCTTGATCTAATTTACTTCGTACATTTTAACATGACTTTATAACCTTATGCTTTGGTGAAAGAATTTACATTGTTAAGTGAGAACACTGACATGTATCATGCTCAACACTTATATATTGTCACATTAAGACGCACCCTCGATATGATAAGAACACAACTACCTTGTACTACATATAATCAAGTGGAGTGCTTCTATATTCCATTGTTATTTGGATGAAATCTCGATGAACTCATGTACTTCGTATTGTTTTCAATGATTTGAAATCTCACTATCACTGGCTAAGCACTACTCGTAAAAGGCTACAAACTAAAAGTTTAAAATATATGGAGTACACACTAAGCACATGTCTTGTCTCATGATATCCTAGGAAATTTACAAATAGACTAGTTATAGGATTAAGGTCATATGCCTCAAGTTCTCATGGGTCTCATTTTATAGCCAAAACCATCCCTAGTCCCTCTAGTCCAAGACTCCAAGCAACTCTTTCCATCTCAAGATCACAAAAGCCTTTACAGCCCATACAATTGTTCAAGTCCAAGTATCAAACCCACAAGCTATTGCCTATTAGGAGTAAACTTCAAGAAACATCTGATGAATTTAAGCATCTAATCTAATCCAATCAAACCCAACCTAAAACCAGCTTTACAAAAACTTCACTCAACCACTTTACCATTTTTTGATTAAAAAAACCAGATTCAGCAGCATCTGCACTACGGAGTACTAAATTACTAATTCCAGTAGTTTACAACTGATAAATCTTTTATCTTTATATTTTTCCTTCTCCTCAAACATCGTTCACATTCCATCTGACAAAATTCACCCTTTTTTTTCATTTTCTGAATTTCTTTCCATTTTCATAGTTTTAAATTATTAAAAGTTTAAAACTCATCCACGTCTAAAATTCACCAATCCCACAACTTTTTTTTCCACCCAATCTGAAAAACCCATCAAAATTTTCCCAAAATTATGATCACCCACTTCACAAAACCACACAATTAAACAAACCCAGAAAAATTATGAGCAATTGTGAAAAACAAATGTACAAAAAAGCAGGATTAACACTTGCATTTTTCATAATTCTTACAATTACATACCTTTTTTTGATCGGAACCCTTGATCTAAGAGGGTCTTACTTCACCCCATTTCTCCAATCTTTGCCGACTGAAGCACCTAACTATGTCCCACCTTGCCGGAGTTTATCTCCGTTGAGAGTTTACATGTATGATCTTCCGCAAAGATTCAATGTTGGGATGCTCCGGCGCCGGAGCTCCGATGAAACTCCGGTGACGGTGGAGACGCTGCCGCCGTGGCCGGCGGTTTCTGGGTTGAGAAGACAGCATAGTGTAGAGTATTGGATGATGGCTTCTTTGCTTGTTAAAGGGGAGGAGAGAGAAAATGAGGGTGAAGGTGGAAATGGGGTTTGGGTTGGGGAGGAGAGAGAAAGTGAAGTTGTGAGAGTATTGGATCCAGAAATGGCGGATGTGTTCTTTGTGCCGTTTTTCTCATCTTTGAGTTTTAATGTTTATGGGCATAATATGACTGATCCTAGTACTGAACGTGATAAGCAGCTGCAGGTAAAATTATACTCTTGCTCACTTGTTAATATTGGGTTTTTGAATCTTATGTTTAATGTGTAATTGGTGTATTTGAAGTCGCAAAGGGTAATGATGTAGACGAGATTCGATCCCGGGTTTTGTATAGTTTAATCTTGAGTGTTTGTGTATGTTTAAGAGTATAATTTAGTATAATTGGGTACTGTATAAGTATTGTCTTGGTTATAGTGGTTGATATTGGTGACAGGAGTTGATGTTGATGTTTAAGAGTAAAATTTAGTATAATTGGGGTTGTGTATACGAATTATCTTAGTTGATATTGGCGATAGTAGTTGATGCTGTATGTTTCAGATTAAACTTAGTATAATTGGGTAGTGTAGAAGTATTGTCTAGGTTAATATTGGTGATAGTAGTTGAAGTTTAGTTTAGAGTGAAATTTATGATTTATCGGATTTGGAATTGACTGTGGCAGTGGTTGTTCTCTAAATTTGATTGTGGAATGAATTGGATCCTTTTTCACCTATCTTCAATGATAATATTGTTTGTAAAAGTTTGCCTGGGAGTTGGGATGATTTGAATGTTTTTTGCAGTTTCTAAGAAGATATATTGTGGACTTGAACTGCTGTAAACCTATATTGGTGATTTGATTTGTTTAGCTTCAAAATTTGAACCCTCCCTCCCCCCCCCCCCCCCTCCCCCCCCCCCCTATTGAAGTGAGGGGCCATAACGAAGGAGTGTGGCTTAGTTATTTAGTGATTGGGAGGTTTCTTGATAGTTCTACCTAGAATATTAGACAATTGATAATCTCTGTCAGTACTCTTTATGGTGGGTTTTCCAGTCGACTTGGTTTGTTTTGGTAAGGGGAAATAATTTTATGACTTCAAAGCTTGAACTATTATTTTGACCTGTAGAACTACTTGAATCCGTTTGTCCATTTGGGTGCCTGGTGGTGACATACTGTTTGGATAGTGTTAATCAATTGTCTTAATTCTTCTCCTGTCACACGAGTTAATGCTTAAATCTTCCAATCTCTTTTTGACCGCACAGAAGCCTCTTCCAGTACATTGTTAACTACTTAACCACTTGCACCTTTGAAGTGTTAAAATTGTGGATTAAGCTGTTCCTAATTCCACGAGAATACTAGTGAACAGCAGGAATTCTCCTGTTATCTGACTATTTATCTTTTATCTAGATCCTAATGTTTTCTATAAAGTGTTTATTAAGTTGCACTCTTGGTTTTAGGTTGATATATTGAAATATTTGAGGGAGTCTAAGTACTGGCAAAGGTCAGAAGGCCGTGATCATGTCATTCCTATGCATCACCCAAATGCATTTAGGTTTCTTCGGGAGCAAGTGAATGCATCGATTCTCATTGTGGCAGATTTTGGCCGTTACTCGAAGAGCATGTCAAATTTAAAGAAAGATGTTGTTGCCCCATACGTCCATGTTGTGGATTCATATACTGATGATGACACCCCCAATCCCTTCAAATCTCGCACCACCCTGTTGTATTTTCGTGGCAGGACTGTGAGGAAAGATGTAAGTTCAACCTTCAGGGCAGTGTTTCATCATTCTTGTAAAAATCTTTTGTTGGTTGAATGTATTTGCTAATAGGTAGCTTTTGCTATGTTCAGGAAGGTGTGGTTCGTGCTAAATTGCAAAAGCTTCTGGAAGGTTATGATGATGTCCACTTTGAAAGGAGCTTTGCCTCAGAAGAAAGCATAAGACTGGTATGTCATTTCAGTTACTTTCACTCTGAATATCTGAATGTAAACAATTGTAAGGTGAAAACAATGGTTGTGAATTGTGATGGATGTTGATTTGCTGAAGTACTCCTTAAAAAGTAAAATTATGTGAATTTAGGAATCCTTAATTTTTGAATGATACTCAACTGTGGTTCCTCATAGTTGTTCCCTTGATACCCGTCACTGATCCTCATTCTCCATGTGCCACCAGAAGTGAAACAACAGTGACTCAGTGAGAACCAGGAAGTGTAGACGTGTATACTTTAATCCCTGACCAATCTAAACCAGAAGTTAGACTGTTTCTGAAAGTTATTATGAAAAAGAAGCCCACTTTCATAACTAAAAGGTAGGAAATAGCCATTGAAAAATGGTTAGACAAACAAGTCTAGATGCACAGTTAGGGGCTTAGGGCAACAGCGTAGATGGGCAGTTCACAGCAAAATGAGCAACTATCATATCAAGGATAGATGCAATTCCTTTTTCTTTGCCCCGGCTTTACCCTAAACAGATTCTCTTTTCCTTTATGTTTTTAGGGGAGGGGTGTGAAATGGAGTGAACAGTGAAATTGCCGCTGGTTAAATTATTATCTACTTGGACTAGTAGCTTTATTGTAACTAATGCATCTCGTTCTGACAGTCCACGCAGGGGATGCGAAAATCAAAGTTCTGTCTACACCCGGCAGGAGATACCCCTTCCTCATGCCGACTATTTGATGCTATTGTCAGCCACTGCGTACCAGTCATTGTTAGCGACCAGATTGAGCTTCCCTATGAAGATGAACTTGATTATTCTGAGTTTTCTCTCTTCTTTTCAACCACCGAGGCAATAGAACCTGGTTATATGATTGAGAAGCTTCGCCAGTTCCCAGAGGAAAAGTGGCTAAAAATGTGGAACAAACTAAAGAACATTTCCCACCACTACGAGTTTCAATACCCCCCAAAGAATGGCGATGCAGTCAATATGCTATGGAGGCAGGTTAGGCATAAGCTCCCTTTCGCTAAGCTTACTGCTCATAGAACTCGAAGGTTAAAAATTCCTGATTGGTGGGGAAGGAGAAGGTAGCCGGTGTGTACTTTGTACCTAACTGTACTTATTTTTGTGTGTACAGTTTCATATTTACAGTTTGAACTTTCCCAAAGAAGGGGAATTATAGGTTATTCACTTATTCATACATGTTTTTTGATCCTGTGACATCCAATCTGATCCATTTGTTTCATTGTTTGCATTCTCTTTGTTGCATTATTTTAAGCTGCATTATGTTGGCACATCCTTTATTAAATCACCTGAGGTATAATCCAGGCTGTGATGTATGACTTTTGGTGCATTATTTGAACCGACAGTACCATATATCCAGGATCACCTTTTCATATTTTCATTGGATCGAGCGATCGGCGTGTTGTTAATCATGTATATGCTGTGGCATGTCTGTTCTTGTCTAATCTACTACTGAAAGTATACCTGCAAGGTTGCAATGTGACAGTAAAACAAAGATATGCAAAGTATCTAACAGCTTGGCTTTCTTCATTTAAAATTAAACATTTGAGATACTGAGTAATAATCATCATTCATGTATTTTGTGAGATTGGAGGTGAAGGATGTACCAAAAAGCGTAAATCAAGTAGGCGTCAATGTTAGAGCTCCCACCTCTCAACCTCGTTTCCCTGTGAGTCTTAGGCCAATCGGCTTGTGTTTCGTTCTGGATAAAATACCCAGTTACTAGTCACTAGCTTCCTTCCCCGGGCTGTGTTTTTCGGATAAAAGTGCATTTGTATTAATTCAATTTTTTATGGTTTATTACTTTATTACAGTACGATCGATTTTGTTCATTAGACAATCAAGGCTCAATGTAGTTATAGTATGTCTACCTGAAACCTGACTACACTTGGACAGGGCAAGCTGAGTGTTAGGCCAAGACCCCCCAATCATTTACGGCGGCTAGTTCAAGTTCCATCACTTCAATGCCCCCGCTTGGGTTACAAGCCCACGCTACTAGGCTCAGCTAACAAGTTTAGAATTATGAAAATATATTAGTCGTGCATCTTACGTACTAAACTTAATGTGGGATACTAGGATGCCAGATGAAAGTCATTTTGCTCTTTTACAATTCTCTTAAAAGTGATCGATGCCAATCAAGTGAAATTGAGGGGCTATAAACAAATTATGCGAGTTACAAATTAAAATTCGTGCAGAAAGGAATGTACTTCTTAATATGCATTAGGCTCCCACAAGGCCATAACTTCGCTATCAACCATAACCAAAACAATATAAAAGCCAAAACCATCAATTAAAAAATAGTCGTAGATGTAATAATTTACTCTGTAAGTCATTTTTTTCTCTCTAAACTATTGCAACTAGTCCAATATTCTCTTCGTCTAGTTCATAACAGTTTGCTGCTAAGCCAAAAGGCCAGCTAAATACATTTGTATTTTCTAATTGATCAATAATGTTATACAAATATTAATAAGTTATCCATACTCATCACCTAATTTAGCTATAGAAACATTTTCTACTCTTTACCAGCTCTATGACTCTATGTGATGAAAATATTCGCGGTTTATAAGTCAAAGTCAACACAACGTTACACATAAAAACACTAAATTTTTATGTACCTGTCTCGAAGAGAATCAAATAAACTACAGTACTTAAAGACAACTAGTAGACTAGTATCATAACTTAGCAAATTAGTGACATTACACAAAATTAACCCAGCAGCAATGGATTTGGAGAAAATCAAGGAGAAGACTATTCTCTGCAGTAAAGCCCTTGAAGAGGTTAGTTATTCTTAACCAATGTCGTCATGTAATGAGTACTACCCTCTTCCGAATCCAGTTATTACAGTACTAGTTGATATCAACGTGACAATTAATTTGGATAAGGCACGGCGCAGAATTGTTTGACTTTTAAATACTTATCATCTTTGTAGTTAAATTGAGAAAATACATGATATGATTTGTTATGAATTTTGGTGACAGTACATTTTGGATACCAGTGCTTACCCCAATGAGCATGAGCAGCTGAAGGAGCTTAGAGATGCCACTGTACAGAAATACAAACATTTGTAATCTCCTCTTTTTTTCTCTATAATTTAGAGTACATAATTTATAGGCTTATAGCTTTATACTTCTTTATGTAGATATATTATCTTCTTGAAATTTCCCCATGGTGTGGAGTACTATAGTCACACATCGGAAGAGTGGTAGAAAGATGACAAGGATATTAAACTATTGTCTACATCCTAACAAATTTTTCGTTAAAATATAATTTTAAGATGGAACTTCATTTAACTTATATCTTTATTTTTTATGTTGTATCGTGCAACTCAATGCAAATAGTGTCATATTACAGGGCCATCTACACTCCGACACATATAGTGCACATAAAGCCCGGGTCATAGCGTCATATTTCTTAGTTTCAAGCTTAAATGACATGATTTCAAAATTAGAAATAACTTAGCAATGCTCTTTTTCTCTGCTTTCCAGGAGCATATTGAATACAAAAGCTGATGAAGCACAATTCCTTTCAATGCTATTAAAACTAATGAATGCCAAAAACACCATAGAAATTGGAACTTTCACTGGCTATTTACTTCTTACTGCTGCCTTAACTTTGCCCGTTGATGGCAAGGTAAACTTTTCCATACAATTTCTCTATTAATTCAACCCTTTAGTCTCTAATTACTTAATTAGGTTATAAAGTCTAATTATTTTTGTTGAACTGAAATTATTTTTACTGAACTGAAATTATTTTTGCTGAACTTAAATTATTTTTATTGAACTGAAATTAATTTTACTAAACTGAAATTATTTTTACTAAACTGAAAAGTTATTTTTGCTGATTTTCTATTATATCCTTCTTTTAAGTTTACAGATTTTTATTGAAGTGAAATTATTTTTACTATTTTTTTTTTTCTATTTTTTTTAAGATGGAGTGAACAGGGTATAATAATAATAATAATAATAATAATAATAATAATAATAATAATAATAATAATAATAATAATAATAATAATAATGATGTAATATATGATTGTAGATTCTAGCCATCGACTTCCATAGAGAAGCATATGAGGTTGGACACCATTAACAAAAAAAGCAGGAGTTGAGCATAAAATCGACTATATTCATGGAATTGCTTTGCCTGTATTACATGACCCAATAAGCAAGGTAACTTTACTAGTGATTGTTGTTTATAAGATCAATTTGTTTAATTTTTCTCAAAAACAAATTATTCTTGTATAATGGTACGTATCACTCGGATTTTAATAGAATCATTACTGTAATTATGAGGAGTTTAGCTAATAATATATATGACTTTTAATTCCGGACAAAGGAAGTACTATGTTTAACCCGAGATATAACAAATGTGAATAGCATAAAGAAGGGAGATTTGATTTTGCCTATGTTGATGCGGACAAGGAAAACTACATCAACTACCATGAACTATTGTTGAAACTTGTTAAGGTTGGAGGAGTGATCGCCTACGATAACACTCTTTGGTTTGGCTCAGTTTGCCTTCCAGACGATGATGAGATATTCAACAACGACCTTGTTATGAATATTTTAATCAGCATGGTCGTGATGCATTACAGAAGTTGAATAGCTTCCTTGCCTTGGACACTCGAGTCGAGTCCACTCTTCTTTCAATCGGCGATGGCCTTACTCTTTGCCGGCGTAAGTGAAGAAAGCACAGTCGAAAAAGGTTTGAGTCTGTCAGAACACCGTGTTACATAGCGAACGATCCTCAACGGCACACCAAGATCAATGGTGGTAGGCCATTACTCACGCTCTGGTACACGGTCATAGTTCATCCACCAAGCTTTGATTTCTGTGTAATTTGTACTCAAGGATACAGAGGTACGAGCCTATAGAACATATCCTGTCTAGTAAGGTCGTGCCTCAAACTTTGAATAATGAGGACGTTTTCCCAAACTAAGCTTTGTTTGCTTAGTATTTTGCAAACTAGACTCGTGGAAAAACTATTTTGCAAACTAGACTCGAACAGCGTTTTATATCTTGATTTTTTAAAAAAAAAAAAATTCAATGTGTAAAATGCTGTCTGGACCTGTTTACTTTTTTTTTTTTTAAAAAAGAAAATTCGTAATTTATAGTTTTCAAAAACAATTTTTTTTTAAAAAAAACAAAGACCCTAAAACGCTGTCTCAGACACTGTTTAATGTTCTTAATGAAACGCTGCCTGAGGCAGCTTTTAATGTTCAACATGAAACACTGCCTGAGACAGCGTTTAATGTTGTTAATGAAACGCTGCCTCAGGCAGCGTTTCTTGGGAGCTTTTTTTTTTTTTTTTTTTTTTTTAACAGCGAGTCTCTTTCTAATTTATACAACGAGCTTTTTTTTTGAAACCAATAACAGCTTCTCCCTGCATTCCCACACTTCCATTCCCTCACTTAATCTCTCTCTCTCCAAGACCCTTCTACTTCTCCGTTCAAGTCGCCACCTCCACCGCCGTCTCACTCTGACGACGGGCCGCCGAAAGCCCCGAAAACCTAGCCTCACTTCAACCCGAATTTGGTATTTACTCAATCTCTCTTTGAAGTTTAAAATTCTAGGGTTTATGTTTTTGTTTTTTAATTTTTTGAAATTGTGGTTAAAATCTTGATAATGTTGAATTGTTAGTGTTGGTAATGTTGAATTGTTAGTGTTTGTAATTGTTGAATTGTTAGTGTTGGTAATTGTTGAATTGTTAGTGTTGATAATAGTTTGAATAATGTTGAATTGTTAGTGTTGATAATGGTTGATAATTGTTAGTTTTTGAGTGATTTTGATAACCTACATTATTGTTTATTAATGGTGATTTAGTGATACTAAGTTGTTGTAAATTGAAAAGTATGTCTACATTGTTGTTTAATTATGGGGATTTAGGGATGATTTAGTGTCTGTAAGTGTAATGTGTTTTGGTTGTTATGTCGAATATGGCTGCACAAAATTTAGTTTTGATATGCCGGTGGGGAGGTGAAATTTTGTTCGATGGACCCCGTGTCGAGTATAGTGGAGGAAATATGGAACCACTAACACTTGAACCGAACATGACTTTCAATGATTTGATGAACGAGGTTCGTAGTAGTATAGGTTCAAACCCAAGGAATGTTGAACTAAACATTAAAATGAGGTTTGAGACTGACAATGGGGTTCAAGTGTTACCTGTTTCTACGAATAAACATTTGAAAGCTTTGAGCTGAGGAGCGTTGTTGCAATGAAGGATGTTCCCACTGCGATATATGTAGAAATGGTGCCTATATGTACCCAACAAAGTACTCGGCCAGAACAACAATCTACATATTATTCCGGTTACAACACAGAGCCCTTCCAAGTGCCCTCACACAACATTCCATCAACTGAATATGGGATGGGATCTTTCAGTCGAATGCTGCACGACAATCAATTTCACATGTCGTTTAGTTCTCATATAGCTTCACATGTACATGGGGGGGGGGGCATATGTGGCAATGATCGATCAACCTGGGCCTTCGACATCAAACACCGTCACACCTTCACCGATGCAATTGCATAGTTATTCGCCTATGCAAGTGGTGGTGGTCGATGGTGGGGAGGTTGTCAGGGTTCGTGAATGTCGGCGGGGATGGTGGTTGAGGTTGGGGTTGGTGGTGGGGATGGTGTTGGAGGGTGGTGGTGGTTGGATAAGTGGTGGAGGGTGGTGGCTGAATGAGTGTTGGAGGCTGAAGTTGATGTGAGGAGTCTAGCCAGCAGAAAAAACGCTATCCCAGGCAGCGTTTTATGTTAAAGAAATAAACGCTGCCTCAGCCAGCGTTTTATTATTTTTGATTTTTATTTTTTAAAAATCAGAATTTACGAAATTAAAAAAAAAAGGTCAACTGGTAAAAACGCTGTGAAAATCAACATTTTTGGATTTAGTAGAAAACCTGCAAAAATATGATTACCTTGGCTTGTCGAGCTTATAAAGACGGTTAAAAACACAAAAAAATAGCGCCTCAGCAAAGGAACTCTTACTTTAAATGGAGTTGAAAATTCAATGAGTAATGCCAAGAGCCTAAAGTCAAAGAATGAGATTCAAGATACACTTTCACAATGGAGGTCACTTGACCTTTTAACATGATATCCTCAATGTATTTAACTACTCATACTTGAATACAGAATTGCCAAACGTGTTGTGTTCTATCATTCTCATGTTCGAAGTTAAATGTGTTGGAAGATCGACCTCAACACTTAACCGACCCATTTTGTAAACGTGTCGTATCTTGTTGACCCATTTAATTAATCGTGTCACAAACTCTTAACATTAACCCATTTTTATTCGTATCTAATTCCTGTCGTGTTACAAATAAAAATGTTAAAAAATAAAAAGAAACGTGTTTACAAATAAAAAGAAAAAAAAGTGATGGTCCAATTCGGATCTAAGCCAATTGGATACTAATGGATCCGAGAGGCACCGGCCTGTTATCCGTCCACTGACAAGAGCGGGAAGTTTTCGTTGCTCTGTGAAACCAGCCTCACGCGGTCCCCTCCGCTTTAGGATCCATGAAGCTCTGACTTTCGCCGAAGCCCCATGGATCAACTCGCAACTTGGACTGGGCAGGCCAGCAAATTGCCAGCCCAAGACCCGACCCAATTAGCTTGGCTTATATTCCATCACTTTGTTACCCCCACTTGGGTTACAAGCCCACGTGACTGAGCTCGGTGATCAGTATAATGTCTTTGTAAATATATAAAGAACGCAAAAATATTATATTACTTCGATGTGGGATTATGTAATCTCACGTTTTATGCGAGGTTGAACATTTTGGCTCATTTTGTGCATGATTCTTTCTTGATTTTCTTCCATTTCTATTGAATTGTTGTCAATATATTACCTACGTACAGGCGTTTCATGACTATACTATATCCTAAATGTTGAGGACTTGAGGATGTCGATTTTTTAATTAAATATTTCTCTTATCTAGTGTTGTTTAAGTATAATTGCTAAACTATTGGAGATATATATATCTCTAGCTTATAGATCGGGTATTACCTAGTTCTTCACAATCGAATGTACGTAATACTTCCATATTCCCTCAAAGTTATCAAGCATACATATGCAAGGACATAATTTAGGATAAATAAGCAACCTAACAAAACTACATTTACCTAACTAACACTTGGTGAAAATGTAAAATACATCTCTTAAATGCATTTCACGTAGTACAAAGATTTACAATTTACTATGAGTAATATCTTATCCCGAACATTTACACGTCTCCATTTTTTTCTTACTTACTTTATCTCCATTTCTCTTAATATTTTCATCATTTTTTTTTATCTACGTATCTAAGTGATGAATAAACAGGAAAAAAAAAAGCTGTAAATGTATAGAATATATATATATATATATATATATATATATATAATATATATATATATATATATATATATATATATATATATAATATATATATATATATATATATATATATATATATATATATATATATATATATATATATATTATATATATATATATATATAGTCATACTTGTATAATGTTCTAAGACTTTTAACCAAATCTGTCAATTACTTTTACTTCTATTTCTTTCATATAGTTTATTGTCAGTTACTTATAACATAGCCCAAATCCACACCATTTGGAATTACTAGTCAAATTGCATTATTAAGTTTCATTTAAAGTTGTTTGGTGTTGTTCAAATGTCTAGTTTAAGTTCATGCTTTTAGTCAAGTCTCTAAGAGTCAAACAATTACAACTACTTCAAAAGCTGTCAAGAAAGAAATTTCAAGCATGAATATAGTACTCGCTAGTTTAAGTCCAGATACCTAGCGTCGTCTTTTTGGACTTTCCAAGTTTTTATTGTTAAAACTCTTTTTCATTTTATTTTTCATCCACAACTATTGAAAATAAATTACATGCATAAATAATAGTCAACAATAAAGTAGATGTAAATTACCAAAGACTTTGTATATTTCTAGTCTAGAAATTGAAATACTAGAATAGTTTTAGAATAATATATCTTTGATGTCGGGCTTTGCATGGGCGGATCTGATAAGAGGCATGAGCGCTATGTGCCCCACTCCACCAAATTATTGTATCTTTGGAATAAAAAAACTGAAGATATAATGAGACATGTAATATATGAAGTATTTCATTCAATTCCTAATATAATTTTATAATGAGTTTAAATTGGGATTTGAATCGTGATGGAGCTAATATTATTAAGCGCTTTCAAATGTTGTTGATTGTGGTTGTTTTCCTCGTTGTTATAAATTTTAAACTACTACCAAGTATAAAGCGGGTAAGTAAAATTGCTCGTGTCATGTTCAATAATTTATCAATGGACTTATAATGTCCACCATGATTTTCAAACTACTTTATCGTATTATTTAAAATTGCCATTTCAACAATTTTGACTGTGTATAGACAGTACATAATAATAACATAGCACAAATTTGAAATTCGTTTGTTATTATAAAGATATATAAAAGTCCAATTTCAAAAAAACATGAATGTATGGCATATTATATGGTTGGTGTTTAGAATTGTCAAACTTTTACTACTACTCATTTAATTAAGTAATGGTCTTTGATGGTGGCTTGTATTATATTCGAAAACATTATTATCATAAATCATTGTCAAAATTTCCTGGAATATAAATATCTTTTGGGCTGTTTATATAAATATAACTTCATGCGCCTCAAAGAAAATCAAACCACTGTTAATACATATATATCCTTTGCTTCCGTTTAATCCTTAATTAATTAAGAAATATACACATAATTAAACCAACCAGAGAAGCAATGGATTTGAAGAAAATCAAGGAGTTCACCATTCTCAACAGCCCAGCTCTTGAAAAGGTTAGTTACTACAAGTAAATTATTATCGTTAATTATTTGCATTTTACAGCTTGAAAAACAAAAAAAAAATTAAAAATATGATATTATTGCATTGATGTATTATAATTTGGGGTTTAATTTGTTTTTTTGACAGTACATATTAGAAACAAGTGCGTACCCTAATGAACATGAACAATTGAAGGAAATTAGGGATGCCACTTTGGAGAAATACAAACACATGTACTCTTTCTCTCTATCGATCTCCAAATTAACTTTACATTTTTTTACGCATTCATGAAGCACCCATTTTTTTTTTTATTTCATCGCTTTTACTTGTCTCTTATTACACACACCCAAACAAGTAAATTTTTTTATAATACGAGGAAGAAAAAAAAATTGTAACTCAATTATATTGACCTTGTAGCTCATTTGGATCAAAATTTTTTATTGTAGCTCAATGCATGGCATAGGGTGATAGGCATTGTGCACCTTTAAAACAGTGATAAGAAAAAATATTGTTGGACCAACATTTTGTTTTCAAAAGTATTGTGTAACAACATTTTGTTTTTACACAAAGATAAGTAAAAACATTAGAAAGGAGACCCTCCTCGTAATGGAAACTTCTAATGCATCAGAAATAATAATTCGAAAAAAGCAAAGAATTTATGCTAAGGATCTTCTAATGTACAGCATCACTAGTATTATGCATGGGTATATTAAAATCAATGTTTCGTTCACTTATACTAGTATTTAATAACACAATTTGCATTTTCCAAGCTTTCACACTAGTAAGATGTGATATTTATAAAACAGATAAAAATAAATTGAAGGACTAGCTAATAGTTGTTACATTGGGTATGGTCCGTTTTCAGGAGCATTATGAATGCATCTGCAGATGAAGCACAATTCCTATCAATGTTATTGAAGCTAATGAATGCCAAAAATACCCTAGAAATTGGTGTTTTTACTGGCTATTCACTTCTTACTACTGCACTCGCTCTTCCTGAAGATGGCAAAGTAAGTTTTTTAATCATCGAATATTAATGTTAACATATAGGACTAATTTTATTTGTAAAAGTAATTTATTTAAATGAACTTGTTGAAAGTTTAAATAAAAGCATCTTAACTAACAGTTTGTTGTAACACGAAGCATTATAAATTTGTAATATCATATTATTAAGAAGAAAGTACTATTTCCTTATATAAATAACACCTACTCCATAATTGAATACAAAACTTGATTTTATTATTTTGGTCCAAAATAATTGATTTTGTAATTTTGATTTCAGGTTATAGCAGTTGACCCGGACATGGAAGCATACAAGGTTGGATTACCGGCCATTAAAAAGGCAGGAGTTGAGCATAAAATTGAGTTTGTTGAAGGAAATGCCATGCCATTTTTAAATGATTTAATAAGCAAGGTACGCTATAATATTATTTTACTCTATTTATATAACACACTTTGACCATTATATTGTGAGTAATTTATAATTTTATACTTAAATTAAAACAAGACACTATTACATGAGACTTGGTCAAATTCGTTATCATTTATTATAATTTCACAATATTAACTTGTACAGTTTTACGCATTGATGATTAAAAAACATTAATTAATAATAATCAAAGTATTGAATTGACAATATACCTACATGGAGGGACTAACTGCCTAATGTGTTAATTTGTAACCTAAAATCTAGTAAAAGGATCATAAGAAAGAATGATAAGGCCCAATTGACTTTTCTAAAAACACAAATGCCAAACGGCCCAAATTAACTTTTAACAAACATTTTGTGACACAGACCCAATCTAAATTGATTTTGCATGTGACAAATAATACTAGTGTTTATAGATTATAACAATGTTGAGTGTGAAAAATGCAGGGCAAGGAAGGGACCTTTGATTTTGCATTTGTTGATGCTGATAAGGAAAACTACATCAACTACCATGAGCCATTGCTAAAGCTTGTTAAGGTCGGAGGAGTGATCGCCTTCGATAACACTCTTTGGTTTGGCTCGGTCGCCTTAGCCGATGATGATGAAAAATTCAAGAATGACCCTATTATGGGATACATTAAAAAACATGGACATGAAGCCATCAAAAAATTGAATAGCTTTCTTGCAAGTGACCCTCGAATTGAGTCGAGCCTTCTTTCGATTGGTGATGGTGTTACGCTTTGCAGGCGCAAGTACTAAAATGAAACATACTTTACTTTCTATTGCAATGTTGTGTTCATTGATCAAAGTTATTGTACTAATAAAAGACTCAATATCATGTGTTTTCAAAAAAATAAAATAATTGTTACTATGTACGCTACAAATGTACAACCAATAAAATTGGGTTTTTTTGAGTATTAGCCCCCCCCCCCCCCCCCCCCCCCCCCCCCCCCCCCCCCCCCCCCCCCCCCTTTTGTTTCGAATTGAGTCGAATGATTTTGGGTAGAATTTGGATCAAATTTTTTTATTTATGTAATCAAATATGGTCATATGGATTAATTTTATCTAGTCTAATAACATGTCAATGTAGTATTGTAAAATTTGGGCCTCTCTTTTTGGCAAACAACTCATTATTTTGGGCTTTTCATGAGTCACCACACTCATCCGTCTCACCACCCATAGGGCCATCCCAATATGCCACCTGTAACTAATTAAAAATTTGCAAGTCAACAACCATGCCAAATTGCAAGTCCATCTAGGCGCTATACATTTTTTCTTTGCAGATAGGAGGGTAAAACATTTGATATTTATAATGGTACTTATTATGATTATAGTGGTATTTTTTTGTACTATTATGCATATATATAAGGGGTGAGTATGGGATGGGTACCTGTACCGTTAGTAGTAATGGTTCGGGTAATCGATAACCAATATCACTAAAAGTGATATCCATAAACCGAACCGATAAAATTGGGTACCCAGATTTTGGGTGCCCGGATTTTCGGATCGGTTATCGGGCATCCAATAAGATATCCAATAATGATAATTAAACTTAATAATGTAGTTATAATGATATCATTTAACACTGATTAACAACAATACCAAATGATCTTGTCAAATTATTAATAATATTACTAATCATTGATATTATAAAGTGATTATGAAGTAAAGTAAGAGTTTAGATTTGGAAAAATAGATTTAAGTAGGGAAAAAAAAATTGTTTATCGGATCGGTTCGGGTAACTGTTAATTTTAAAATGATACCCAATAACCATACCCGATAACAAATTATCGGAACATGTACTCAAATCGTTATGGTTATCGGATTGGTACCCTAATTTTTGGAACGGTTACGAATCGGGTTTTCGGATTTTTGGTTTTTCGGGTAGTTTTGCTCAGCCCTATATATATTATACTATTAGATTATAGGTTGTCTTAGTAGTACTATTATATCTCACGGTGTTATAATATTTGATGTACATTTACATACTTATTTGTACCATTAGAAAAATATTTATACCACTATAATATTTAGTGGCACTATTTACCTATTTGATGGTATTTTATACTCAATGTTAATATTTTATACTCATGTTAATATTTACCTATTTGAAATAAATAGGCGCTATGCGCCAAGAGTTATACCCAAATTGCCAAATTCTATCTCACCCAATTTTTCTTAGACTTCTCATACTCTCAATCCAAAAGCTAAGAATTATATAATTTGCTTATGTTTATTGCTTATCTTATCCTTAATTTGCTCTAAATTAGTGTTATCTGTTATGATAAATTACTATGGAGTACTTTTAATCCATATATAGCACGAAATCAACTCGGGTTTTATATACTAGAAAACCTCAAGTCCTAGTCATTTCTAAGCTTCGTTAACACGAAAACAATTGGTTTTTCATCTCATAAGTTTCCGTGTTAGCTAATTAACCCAATCTCAAAATTAATTACCAATAAACCAGCAATAATTAAGTTGCAAGAGCACTAGAGCAGCAAGGTTTTCATGGATTCAAATCACTCAATCGATAAGCCTAAAAACATCCTTAATAGCCCAGAACTTCTTCAGGTTTGCAAATCCATATTTATTTTTTCTCTTTAATTAATTGATGGGAATATTATAAGTAGTTTTTTAAGAAAATGTGAATTTTTTTTGCAGTGTAAATTGGAAACCAGAGCATATCCAAACAAGCATGAACAACTCAAGGAAATTCGACTTGCTACTGTTGAAAAATATCCTCATTTGTATGTGCTGCATTTTCTTTTGCCTCTCCTCAAAACTCGATATGATATACTCTCTCCGTTCTTTTTTGTTGTTCGTGTTAGGAATCTTTTTGTTCGACAACAGGAACAATAGAACAGGAAGGAGGGAGTACTAATGCTTATATAATTTCAAGTAGTTGTGGATGAATCTGAAATTTAATTTTGCTTCAAGTAATTTTTATTTTTTTTTAGTTGTAATTTTGGTTTTTGATACATTCCCTTGGCTAATTATTGATGAATTCAATTCAATTTGCCAAGGTTTTAATTTTGCTGCCTCGTCTAGTCTGATCATATTTCATATGTTATGTTATGCTCCTTTGTGTAAAGGGCCTTCATTGGTGTATACGTCGTTGACTTTCACAAATCACGATTAGTGAAATCATTGTCGAATATGATTGGTTTGGGAGTGCGCTGAAGTTTTTTTGGGTGTGAAAACACACGCTTTTCCGGAAGTTCATATGTGCCTGAGGGTTTAGTCTAATATTTGAAATCATTGGTTTAATGTTTCCTTAATTATCCTAACAGATATACATGGTTCCTAAGTTTCATGATGAGTTTCAAAGAGTTTAAATAGGGAAAGAATTGAAAATACTCGCGTAGTTGTAATGAAGCAAATAGGTTCATGTAAGACGTAACCCTTGTGTAATTATCAACAATGGTTAGAATTCTTAGAAATTCCCTATGAGTTGTCACATTATGTAAGTTCGCAACAATAATATGGATTAGATCAAATGGCTTATGTATGTGAGAAGTACTTAAAGGAAAAAAGGGATTGGAATTGGGTATAATTAGAGCAAATTAAATTCGTAATCTGGTGCATGCAACCGTGCAAGGCATTTTTGAGAAGATTAAGATAATTTCTTACTTGATTTAACTTCTATTCTCAATATCAACATGAGCAACTTTACCTTCCCCTAATTCACTTCATTTTTGTAAAGTTTAATTTGTCAATGTGTTTCATGTTTCATCGGTTTATGGTGCAAACATGAGCAACTCTGCCTACCCCCTAATTCGCTTCCTTTTTCTTCTCCAAAATTTGTTTTCTTCTCCGAAATTTGTTTTCTTTCCTCTGAGTAATACATTTGATTTTGAAATCCATATAGGACAGCCTAGAATATCCCAGCACTTATCTTTTGAATGCCACGCACTTATTGCTAACATTTTCCATCATTTTGAGTCTTGTTGGTTGATGCTTACTTGCTTAGTATATCAATTTGAGTCTTATTATGTTCTAGAAGTTCTCTTTGTGATTCTTCTTGTTGTAACATGGAGTGTGGTTCCTCAGTTGTAGGCAATGGTTACATCAATAACATATGCTAACTTCAAGCTATTCGAGATGCATGCTTCTCTTAGCTGACTCGCTCTTTCACCTAGCTTTTATCATCCTTAATTTAACATGTATAAGCACAACTTCTATCAATCATGTTAAAATTTATGTTAAAATTTAAGGGTGCATAATTTCTCTGTTTTCTAGGTACACAATGAACGTTGCTGCTGATGAAGCACAACTTCTATCAATCATGTTAAAATTTATGTTAAAATTTAAGGGTGCATAATTTCTCTGTTTTCTAGGTACACAATGAACGTTGCTGCTGATGAAGCACAACTTCTATCAATCATGTTAAAGCTTATGAATGCCAAAAGGACATTGGAGATCAGTGTTTTTACTGGCTACTCGCTTCTTTCCACTGCCCTTGCTCTCCCTGATGATGGCAAGGTATAGCATTTTGGTTATATGATTTCCTTCCAGATATTTTTTATCTTTGTTTCTCCTTTCCATCTAAGCACTAATTGATGTAAATCATGGTATGCCCTTGCTCTCCCTGATGATGGCAAGGTATAGCATTTTGGTTATATGATTTCCTTCCAGATAATTTTTATCTTTGTTTCTCCTTTCCATCTAAGCACTAATTGATGTAAATCATGGTAAATAAGCATCATTGTTGCAGGTTATAGCCATCGATGTAAACAGAGAAGCCTATGAGGTTGGATTACCTTTTATTAAGAAGGCAGGAGTTGAGCATAAGATTGATTTTGTCGAAGGAATTGCTGTGCAAATCTTGAATGATCTTCTAAACAATGAACGATCCCAGGCCATTTTTAGAATCGGAAACCATTTCATCTTATTTCATGTAATTAAAAATGTGAACAAATTTAAAGATGTATCTAAATATGCAGGGTGGAGAAGGGACATTTGATTTTGCATTTATGGATGCTGATAAGAAAAACTACAAGAACTACCATGAAGTGTTGTTGAAACTCGTCAAAGTTGGAGGAGCCATTGCCTATGACAACACCCTTTGGTTTGGTTCCGTTGCATATTCTGAAGATGTTTGAGTTTTTCGAAGATGGTGATCAGGAAAACAAGTCTTTTAATCAAAGTGTTCGCAGGGATACGAAGGAATTGAATAGCTTCCTTGCAAGTGATCCTCGAGTTGAATCTGCCCTCATATCAATTGGAGACGGTGTTACTCTCTGCAGGAGAAAGAATTAGCTAGGAGTGATTTGGTAAACACTTTCTTTCTGTGTTGATTATATAAATCGGATTTTCGGATATCTGAGTGTCATAGTGATGAGTTTATTTTCTGCAAGTCTGTAAAAGTACATTGAGTCAGTATGTACTTATGTGTTAGGATGGACACAAAATGTGATTCTAATGGAAATATGGAATAAAAGTTCCCTGCTAACATTAGAAAAGCATTGAAGGTTCAGTTCTAAAAGTCTGAAACCAACAGTCAATTGTTTTGCACAAAGATTTCGAGTGCTGTTTCAGAGCCATCAACTGACTTCTATGCCTTGTGATGTTTAACTAATACTATTATTTTTATCCGATAATTTGCTCAACATGTATATAGAGTTACGCGGTTTGCAGGTAGGTGAAGGGGGGCAATATATGACCTGATCCGCTAGGTCTGATGCTCAAGTACAAGTTAAAGAATACCCTCTGATGCCTAAATGCGTGTCTAGAAGAACAGATATCAGATGTAATAAACTTTGTATACGCGGGTAACTAATCTATGGCATGAGGCTAGACCAGCCTCACAACTATGCCTCCTTCACTACAAGAACTATCATGAAGTGATGCTGCAACTCGTCAAAGTTGGAGGAGCACTTGATATTCTAATAATATAGAGAGATAAGGAAAATTTGATTTTAATAATCAAACCTTTCGCTAGTCTTAGTTTATTAATATCACTTTTCGATTATAGCAGATTAATCTCACCTTTAGGGGGCATCTTATTCTATTAGGCCAACTTGACCGGTGACCTGTTCTTCAGGTAATTTTTTTTTTCCTGATTTTTTTTAACAAAACAAAAAGGTTTTTTTTTTTTTTTTTTTTTCCTTTCCAGCAACGTAACCACCCATGACCCACCTTCCCCTAAGTCACAACCGAGTCCCCCATGGATTCCGGCAGCCTCAATTACCCTTTTCCGGCCAAGTAGTCCCCCTTCCCTCTCTTTCCGGCCAACACTCGAAAATCCTCGCAACTCCAACCAATGCAGCCACCACACAAAACACCGCACCTCCTCTCTCAGCCCGCGCACCTCCACCCTGCGCAACCAATCAGCCACCAACCTGCAACAAACAACCACCAATCAGCCACACCTTCTCACGCAAAACCTCAAGACAGCAGCAGCCCCATTACCGCCACTTCCAAACCCCTGCTGCTGCTCTCTCTCTCCACCTCGCCATCAGCCAGCAACAGCAATTAATCCACCCACATCGAAACCCTAGAAACCCGAAACACTTAGCAAAGAGATGAAGGAAAAAAGCTCAGATGATATCGAGTTTAAAATCCCCAAATCAAACCCCAAACCCCCAATTAAAATCCCGAAAACCAGAAATTTCGAAATATGAAGAAAATTTACCGTCCCTCCCTCTGATCTTCTCTACCGTCCGATAGTTTGTTTGCCGTCATTTTCACTGTTTTTACGGCGATGTGTATGTCGACAAGTACGGCCGTCTCGGTTTCGTGGGTGAAGGTGAAAAATGAGGGTGGGTGGTCGTGGTTGGTGAATGGGGTGGCTAGGGAAGTTGGGAAGGGCAACAGGGTGGTTGGGGAAGGGCGGTAAAGGTGGCTGGGGTGGCTGGGAGTGTGTCGGAATTCATGGAGGTGGGGCCGTGAGGGGGAGGAAAGAGGGTAAGGGCAGGGGAAAAGGAAAGAGGAAATAAAAAGATTTTTATAAAAAAGTTAACAAAAATAATTTTTAGCCAATCATAGCGTGACATGTGGACATGTAACCTGTTGTAAAAGGTGAAATAACCAGTTGGGCCGGATAAACTAGAAAGGGGTGTAAAGGTGGGATTAATCGGCTATAATCAAAAGGTGGGATTAATAGATTAAGACCGGCGAAAGGTTGGATTATTAAAAACAAATTTTCCTTAAGATAAATCTAATAGCTTATTAATATTTTATTTTATATAATAGCAAAATAAAAAAAAATAAAAAAAAAAAGGGTCAAAGTTATGAAAAAAAACTAAGTGTTAATTACTATGACACTGATGGGGTATTTAGTACTCCGTAAATTACTTTTTATATGGAATCAACTGTAACTTACTCTATTATGACATCTACTCTGAGTTACTCTACTACGAGTACTATGACATTTACGACTAATTAACTAAAACGATAAATTTTAAAATATACAATTACAAATTACTAATATGGGGCTTAATAAGAATCCAATGGTTGAGATGTCACCCTGTGTTGTTAGACTTTGTGTCTGGTTTGGAGGGACACTGATGCCTGCTAAAATATTGTCTATTTGTCTTGCACATTGTTGTCTTTTAGTTGATTTCAAATCTTGAATGGGCGGGTGGTTGTTGTTTTGGATCAACTTGCTTAAACAATACAAGTATTTAGTGTATTTATAGTACTAACTACTCGTATTAACTAATAGGCCCAAATCATATAAATGGATAGTGGAGGAAAGTGTTTTGTTTTGTGCTAAAAGTGTGGATATTTATGTTTGTAGTTTATTTCGCTTATTTAAAAATATGATTATAATATATATCACTTTTTACTCTATATATTATATAAGTATTAGATATACTTTCTATAAAATAGTATATGATTGAGAATTTATGACAGAATCACTTGTCGATCAAAGTTAACAATGCTTACTAATTTCTAATCTTTCTTATGCAGCTGTGAAGACTTCATTATCATTTTCTTTCAAAAAATGGTATATTAAAAACTATCGCATAATCATGTACATCATTAATCCAAATATTTCAAATGATTTAAGTCATTTAACTAAAACGAATACTAATAGCTTCTTACAACACAATTTTTTGATTATGATTTTTTACAAATCTATATTACTCGTAGTGATAGTACATTAGGTGAGTTCCTCTTCCGAGATCTTCTAACTAAAATCCCACACAACTAAACAAGTCAACCCGACTTACATTAAATGAATCGCTTTAGTCTCAGTACTCGTATTAATGAAACAAAACCACCAAGAAGTTAGACCGCTTCATAAAACGAAGACCAAATTATTGAACCAATTTATTCATTGAACACTCAAGAGAGTGACGACTGAAGAGTTTCAGTTATTTGGAATTACCATCAATGGGCGCTCACAGAAACAATCATGGAAATCCCTGCAATCTTAATTCTCGTACTATTCTCTCTTTCTCGAAATTTCATTGTTTTCTTTCTTGCTCTTCTATGTTTGATTCTATGATGTAAATGCATTTAAATAATGACTCTTTGTTCTGGGGTATTGCTTGGAAACTTCTCATCTTTCAATTTTAATCATCTTGTAATTGATGGGATTTTTCGTTGGGTGTGAAATGAGGCAGTTTTATTGAATTTGAGGATCAATGGTTGATATGATGGTGTTTGTATTCCGTTATTATCATTTTATTTTAATGGATTTTGGTATTAAATTGTAAAGACAATAATCTTGATTAAAGGATGAAACTTGAGGAATATGATGCAGTTAAGTTGAATTTTGCAAGAAATGCTAGTTTTTTAATGTTTGGTTGGCATTGGCATTGTGTAATATGGAGTACAGTGAATTTGTATTTTTACAAGAATTCATCCAATATTCCAATATCATATTGTGAGATTAATCAATCTAGTTCATGTAGGAATTACTCATTTATATTGCATTTTAATCCTGATTTAGCATAACTGCTATTGAAATCGTACCGCATTAGTTGTTATTAAACAAATGAGATGTGTACATTCAATTCAATTGGTAGTCATCCTTGGAATTCATAACTTGGTTGAATTCGAGTGGGTAGTAGCTTTGGGAGATTAAGTCCACCCTTATCAAAATTGGTGTTTGAAGTTGTAGGAGCTGATTAAGATTTTGAAACATGTTTTGAGTACTCATGATTACTGATTAGTACCTAAATCATTTGTGAATTTTGAGTTAAATAAGTTGGACTTGGTGATGACGGCGTGACTTTGGCGTGGCTTGCTGATTTGCTGATTTCCCGATTTCCCCTCCACTATAACTAAAGAATGGCTTAGGAACTCTAGTTATGAACTATGTAGTTTTTCTGACAACGCGTCACTATGTATGCATTTATCTTTGTGGTTCTGCTCATTTTTACCCCAAACTATAGGAATCATGATTTGAAAGAAGGATTTCACAATTTTCTCTTTTGTATCAACCGTGAATGTAGAGATCATTTGTCATATAAATCAGAAGTATGCTGTTATTTGGATGGACTACGGAATCACATGAGTTTTATTTGTTTCTCCCTGTGATAAAGCTAAAGTTGCATGAAAAAACAATGGTTCAATAGAGATGACATTTTTATTGGTTTGGTAGCTTCACAATAGCAATATATGTGATGATGAACATCCGACTTTTTTGTGGTTAGCACTGCATTTTTATTTGCTTGTAAGGTTTCTCTATGTTATTTCAATCCTAGGATTTGAGGCATAATAAAACATTAAAACATAATATCTGTGTATATTTTGTGTGATATTCTGAAATTCACCAAACGCAACTTCAAGTGCGTATAGTTATGTGCTGCTTTTCCTTTCATGTTGGTTTAAGAAACTATTTGGTCAAAAATTTAAGTTTGACCCTTTAAATTACTTTTTGAAATTTAAAAGCTCGTTAAATTATTAGCTCTGCATATAATTAGAGGCGTTTATTCTGCTGTAAACAATTCAAGATGTAAAGTTGTACTTCTCTTGGGCAGATGATGTAACTTGCGTAACAACATGGATAGGTAAAGGCCTTACCTGTTACTGCTTCAAGAGGAAGGGGTTCTATGAACGTATTTGCATTACCTTGACACCCTTGCAGGTAAAATCTGTACTGCATAGAGGAATAGGGCAGATTGGGCAGGATTTTTTTTAATTAAAATAAAAATTGGGCTGAGGCAGGGAAGAGACTTCATACATTACTAGGTTGATTTCAGCTCCTTTCATCCATTCTGTTAATCCTGTTATATGTTTGACTATATGACATGCATATCTTGCATATTATTCAGGCTTGTACACGGCAGATTTTCCAAGATTTTTCTGAAAAGTTTGTTGTTTCTAAGTATGAAGCTTCTTTCTATTGTCCTTTATTTATTGTATTTTGGTCTGAGGGAGGTTGGTAGTACCTTGCATACTGTGATAGTCTTCGTTATTTTTGCAAGATGCTAGACATGGATATGCCAACTGTTCATTAAGGCTCTGCTTTAAATTGGTGTTGACTGTTGTGAGTTATGCTCTTTCTTGAAACAGGAACAAAGACTTAATAGGTTAAAGCATCGCATGAAGATTTACTTTGATCCCTCAAGATCAGACCACCAGGTACACACTCATTGATAGAGTATACTTTGTGGTAAGAATTCTTGTTGTTTTTTTTTTTTTTTTTCTTAACATTTTATGACCCTAGGGGGTTGTTAAATGTGAGACTTGCTGCTAATAATGCGTACTTATTAGTCTTTCTATGCTGTATAAATGATATTGTATTGACAGGAAGCTCTTAGGGCTTTGTGGTATGCTACGTATCCTGATCAACAGCTCCATGGTTTAATATCGGAGCAATGGAAAGAAATGGGATGGCAAGGAAGGGATCCCTCAACAGATTTCAGGTTTCTCACTTGCCAGCCTTCCTCTGCCGCTGTCATATGTATCCCTTTCGTCTTTTTTGTGATTTGATCTTGTCTATCTTACTATTGAGCAGAGGAGCTGGCTTTATCTCTTTGGAAAACTTGCTGTTCTTTGCCAAGACATTTTCTGTAAGATCCTTGTTTGATATTTATTGAGTGTTCAGAATACATCATTTCACATTTAGATGATTTAGAAAAATGAGAGCAATTTTTTAATGGTCCATCTAGGTTAAATCTATTGAACAATTCAGGGAGTTCTGTGTATACCAAAGTGGAAAATGACGATTACTGAAAACTGATAAGAGTTAGTTATGAGAAAAGTGTGGCATCTTTTGTTCCGTTAACTTTGGATCACAGAATTTTGGATTTTTAATAATGTTATAGAAATGTTGATAGAGGATTTATATGCTTTGTTTTGCCATTTTTCCAGACTGCTCATCTCCTTATTTCGATTCTATTTAAATTCACATCATCTATATTGTTGTTGCAGACATCTTTCCAGCATTTAGTGAAGAAACAAGATGGAAAACGTGCAACATGGGAATATCCCTTTGCTGTTGCTGGAGTAAATATAACATTTATGCTCATACAAATGCTTGATCTAGATGCTTGTAAGTAGAAATTAATGTTAGCTCGTATTTAGGTTTGATGTTTGCTGTAACCAAGCTGGTGTGCTTTACTTGCTCAGTTTAATAAAATCTTCTTTTTTTTTTTTGCATCATAAGTTTTTGGCGACTTATATCATTCTATTAATACAGTGAAAGGGAGATCTTTTGTTAGAGCTGTTTTCTTGCAGATGTTATCAGGTAACTGATTTTTTTCACCTAGGACAACTCTATTAATTCTCTTTCTTTAGTTATTCCGTGACTCTTGTGTTGATCGTTGATCTGGTTAGGCAGCAGGTCATCCCAACAACTTGGTTCATAACGGATAGCACATCTCAATTTAGCTATTTTATATTCTAATGAATCTGTTCCACCTAAAGTGGATCAGCGAGGCTGCTTTGTTGATCAGTCACAGTTGAACACCCACTAGCTGATCACTGGCCAACTCTATGCATAGCATTTCCATTTAGAGTCGTGTCTCATTGAGTTCTTGAATTGATTACAATGGCATGGCTTATCCTAATTAGAAATTTCTGCTGTAAATTTCAGAAAATGAATGGGCCTTTGATTTGCTTTATAGTGTAGCCTTTGTGGTTATGGATAAGCAATGGCTAGAGAAGAATGCCACGTACATGGAGTTCAACGTAAGGAGGCATCCTATCTTTTACAGTAATTTTTTTCCTTTGCTACCCCTCTCAATCTCTCACACTACATAACGATTTTCATATGATGTGTTGCAGGATGTCCTTAAGTTAACGAGAGCACAGTTAGAGAAGGAACTTCTGATGGATGAAGTATTAGGCATCGAAGACATGCCTTCATTTAACCTTCTTTGTTAACCCTTGGAAAATATTAGCAATGGCTCGACGTTTGATGATTTGCCGATTTCTTATTCCCTTGGAAGACCAAGTTAGTTGCTAGAATGATGTTTCTAGCTTCACCTTATCTCCTGGAATTTTTGGTTGGAAGATAAAGCTCTGATACAGATAAATATACTTGTGCTTGTGCTGTTTTTCGGTTGATGGATATGACCTTTTGCAGTTTTGTTGACACCAAAAAACATTTTAGTGAAAATTTTGTCTAGAGTAGAAGTTTGACACGAATTGTTTTTAAAACAAATCTTGTGTTATTGTCTCAATACAGAAGCCAAGGGGAGTTCTAGGGTGATCAAATAGTTATTTATCACCTTAAGGTAAAGGTGGGCCCATTGTGGTGGCACCTTCATGACCACAAAAAAAAATTGTCCCCTCTATTTTTTATTTTGCTAAAAATCAGTTAAATGTTTTATAAATGTTAGAAAATCTTTTTAAAAATAGATTTTATTATTTTTGAAAATCAGGAAAAAAATTATAGAAAATTAAAATAAAAAACAACCACCCCTTTCCACCGGTAGTGTCGGCGACCAGCGACGCACCACCAGCGATGCAACAACTGCCGGCAACTTAACCCAAAATAATGCCGGCAACCCAGCCCCCTTCCCTGCAGGCTGATCGAAAACCTCCGATCCCCTCAGGCGGTCCCTTTCCACCTTCTCCCTTTCACCAGTGACCCCAAACCATCCCTAAAACCAAAACCCGGCCCACCCTCTCCCCTTCCCCTCCCCCAAAACGACCTTCCTGACATCAGATCGACGACATCCCTAGGGAAAGGGAGATAGGCGACCCCCCTACCTCTTCCTCCCCTCGCCGGCGCAATCCCCTAGCCCCTCGCCAGCGTTGAGAGATGTCGCCGGTGGGAAGGGGAGGGCCAACAATCAGGGGGAGGGGAGAGGTGGCTGTGTGGTGGTGGCGGTGGCGGTTTTTTTTTATTAATTATTAATTAATTAATTAATTTAATTGTATCTTTTTTTTTGAGGAAATTTAATTGTATCTAATCATGGTTAAAGATTTAATTTATCTTTTTTGTTTTTTTTAACAAAAATAATTAATATCTTTGATATATACCAATATTGTAGTATCTTAAAAAAAAAAAAAAGTTGTTTTCAAATTACAATATATATATTATAAGGGTTTATTATTATTATTATTATTATTATTATTATTATTATGGACAATATTGAAGTTGTTTACAAATTACATTATTAATTATCAAGTACTCCCTTTGTCCCAATATAAAGTTTCTATTTGTGTTTTTTCACAATATTCAAGAAATGGGAGGCAAAAATGGATGAAGTACATAAAAAAAGGTGAAAAGTACAATTATAGACAAAAGTTAGAGAGCAGAAAGTGAATAAAGTACAAAAAAAAAGGTGAAAAATACAATTATAAACAAAAGTTAGAGAAAGAAAGTGGAAAAAAGTACAAGGCAAGTGGAAAATTCAAGGGTAATTTAGGAAGTATAATGAATAAAGTTAAAAAAAATGAGGGTATAATGATCTTTACATACTATCCAAAAATAGAAACAGAAATAACATTTTGGATCTCCAAAATAAGAAAACAAGAACTATATCATGGAACGGAGGGAGTATAATATTGGTAATACTAATATACAAGAAATAGTTATTATAATAATTATTATTGTTCTTGTTATTGCTAATGTTATTGTTATTATAATAATAATTATTATTGTTCTTGTTATTGCTAATGTTATTGTTATTATAATAATAATTATTATTGTTCTTGTTATTGCTAATTTTTTTGTTATTATTGCTATTATTATAATAGACCCCACTGATGAAATACTTTGTACAAGGTATGCAATATTGATTATGATTAAACTAGTGGAATAATGTAATGAGAAGATGAGATAGAAAATTCTAGTGAAATAATGTAATAAGAAGATGAGATAGAAAAATGGTGGATATTAACATCTAAAAGTGGTTAACAAAGCTTTTGGGATAACTATATATCAATTGATTTAAATAATTTTATATGTTTTATTGTATAGGTAATTATTATTTAATAAGCATTACTGATATGTTAATTCTTTATTCAAGAAAAATGTTAATCAACTAATGACTAACATTACTAATACTTAAGAAAATTTTTAAAGCAACTAATATTATTACTAAGGGTGTTAATTGAGTTGATCATCTTGAGATCGACAAATTGGCTCGATCAACGTTCGGTCAAACTAGACTCGAGTTGTTTTGACTCGTCGTAACCTTAACAAGAACTGGTCGAGCAAGTTATAAATCGACTCGATAAGCTCGTGAGCACCTCCATAACTATTTTGATTAATTGTGAAAAAAAAACATAGTTAAAAAATAATGTGGTACGTCTATAGAGAGAAGCTATTACTTATGTCCACAACTAACACATTTTAAATTTAAGTGAAATTAATTAAATGACGATGAAATATTTTGGTATAAGGTAAACAATGATTAAGATTGAACAAATGAAACAATGTAATGGGAAAAAGGAGGAAGAAAGAACTATTAATATAGAGTAATTTTGTTGAGCAAAAAGATTTGCAATAGTCCCACATTGAAAGAAAATAGAGAGTATTAAGATGGAGAGATTATAAAAAGAGAAACTTAGCCTCTCCTTTAATAGTATGAATAAATTGGCTCCTATTGAAGGCTTGGGTTATTCAAACATTACTCTATTTAATAAGCTTGGGCCCAAGTTAGTTTGGGCTTGAACTTATGAATTTATCTAGCTTTTTTATTTTATTTTTTTTATTTTTTTTAGCTATAAATAAAGTTGTGAAAAAACCGAGATCTTGCTAATTACCAAGAATGTGGTTTGACAATATGTCTTAGCTACACCCTGGTGCAGCTCCGATAGCTGCACCACGCTCTATAAAATGAACATTTACTAAAAAGTTATGAACACGTAAAAAAAATGACCATTCAGTAAATTAAAAAAATGAACATGTAAAAAAATGAATATTTAGTACTAAAAGTGAACATGTTTTAAATAATCTTATTAATTAGTATATTAAAAATGAATATGATTAGCATACAATCATATTATTACTGAACCACAGCCTTACATGAACATTTAGTTAAAAAACATAAATAAAAAAAAAAACTATGAACATAAGTCCTTCCGGCGCATTTTGTCCTCACTCATGCACGCTTAACTATGGAGTATCTTAGCATATGAGCTCCCTAAAAGGAGATGCACCTTGTTGGTATGAGTAGTATATTAAATTCTTTTTAAAGCAATCATGAGGGGTATTACATACACCCCCACTTGAGAGCGACAACGCTCTCGTTGCGCCTGGAAAGCTAGGGACTCAAGTATTACGCCTAATGACAACTGGGTAGCTAAAGTGTTAGATCCAGTCTGGATATGGTCATATAGCCCCAGATTCTCCCCTGCTAAGTGACTAACATAGGATTAATTATCCACGATCAGCACGCGGTCGCAGGGTTACTCTGATACCATTTGTAACACCTCTACCCCAAACAAATTAGAGAGGGTTCTATTGTCACGAAATGTGCATCAAGGGCCAACAACTCTCCCCACAGACCAGAACAAGTCCTTCCAGCGCATTTTGTCCTCACTCATGCACACCCCGAGAAAACTTCCCAAGAGGTCACCCATCCCAAGACTACTCCCAGCCAAGCACGTTTAATTGTGGAGTATCTTAGCATATGAGCTCCCTAAAAGGAATATGCACCTTGTTGGTATGAGTAGTATATTAAATCATTTTTAAATCAATTATGAGGGGTATTACGGAACACGGAAAAAAAAATGAACATTTAGTGATTAAAAAGTGAACATTTAAAAAAAATTAACATTTAGTAATAAAAAGTGAACACGTAAAAAAGAAATATGAACACTTATTTATCAAAAATGAACATTTATCATGCAATCATAGACTAGCTGGATCATACCTAATAAATGAACATTTCATAAAAATATATGAGCTCATTAAATAAAATGAACACGTACAAAAACGAACACGTTAAAAAAAATAATGAACATTTTAGTATATTAAAAATGAACATGATTTTCATATATTAATATAAGTTCAAATTCATTGTACAAAATTATAAATGAAAAATAAATATAAAATAAATCATTTAAATATGTTCATTTTTTATGTACTGAATGTTCATTTTAAATGTACAAAATGTTCATTTTTAAAGTACTGCGTGTTCATTTCTTTTTACCGAAACTATACACAAATTCGATTGCAATTGCTTTAACACTAAAAATTTGAAAATCCACTTAAATCTAATATTGGTTCATCATAGAGAAAGTAATTATCAATTTGTAACATGATAGATTAGGAATTAAAAGAATCTATAAATAGAAAATAAATAAAAACAGAGAGAGAGAGAGGAGACAGAAAATTATTACAATTAATTGATATTCATTACATACTCCAAATTGACAAAATACACAAAAATTATATATGAAATATCAATAAAAAAATCTAGAAATATAACATAATTAAACTAAATTATAAATCAATAACATACAATAATCTGAATTAACACTCTCTTCAAGAATACCAATTAAATCCATCATGAAATCAACGAAATTACAGAAAATAGAGGAGAGAGATAAAGTTTAAAGAAGATGACAATGTCAAAACCAGAGGAGAGATAAAATTTCAAATAAAATTAAGAATTAAGGAAAAAAATTAGAAAAAGAGGGAATGAAACATATACATGAGAAATAAGGAGGAAGAAGATTGAACAAGGAAGGATTCAAGGAGAAAAAGTAGTATATGGTACAAGGTATGTGTGTTTTTATATAGAAATAGTAATTGTGGTGAAACTAGCTTAGATGCACTTAGTGGCGTACTGGGCCTTGTGCCTAGTGGGTCAAATGACTCACCAGGGCCCAAAAAAAAACTCTAATTTTTTTTTTTTTTTTTTGGTCTAAACCCGACTCCAATTGCCTATACTCGAGCTAAGCATGCTATAACTCGACTCGATAAGCTCGTGAGTAGTTCAATAATATTTTTATTTAATTGCGAAAAATAAAATATCATTGTTAAAAATTAATTTGGTACCTATTTAGAGATAAGCTAGTACTTATGTCCATGACTCATCACGTTTTAAATTTGAAGGGAAATAATTAGTGGATTGCTAAACATCGCCCGCAAATCTCCACATAAAGCCCACAAATCTATATTGAATTTACCTTATTGCCCTAAACCTAAAATAAAAAAATCTAACCCATACCCACACTCTAATCACCCGAAAATACGGCAATGTTGAGGCGGCAAGGCAAGGACTTGGCGGCCACAGCAACGGAGGGAAGGACGGCTCACGGGGCAGGGTTTTTTTTTAAAAAAAAAATTTAAAAAAAAACCAGAAGAGGTGGGGCGCCTGGCCAGGACGCCCAGCCCCTGGTGGTGGCGTCTGCTCCGGCCGCCGGAACCAGGGGCTGGCGTC